TATTGTCAAGGGTCATAATAAAACATAATACAATTTTATTTAAAGTACAGCGCATTGAAACATTGTGTTATTCATGTCTGTGTGAACTGGAAGTTGCTGAGACTTTAATTACAGTATGTTGATGTACTTCCAACTGAAATGAACTAGACAGGTTTTTAGTTTATACCCTTGCAGCAAAGTAATGATAAGAGGAGCGTGGTCATTTTGGCTAAAGCATCAAAATGACGCCAACACAGAAAGTATGACATACCTAACACAGAAGCAAAAGATCAGTCTTTGATTGAAGATTACCAAAACAAGCATTTTTTTACAGTGCATTAACTTGTTTGATTGTTCACCTAAAGAATAGTAATGTGGGCTATCAAAATAAGCATTCCGAATTTCAACTACATTGGAAACATATAAACCAAATAAATTATTCATTGCCCATTAAAAAAAGTGATGTGATTTCAAATAATGTGATTGGATAGTTAGTCTAAGTAGAGCACAGACCTACCATGTGATCTAAAGTCTATCATCAAAATGATGTGTATAGATATCTCCCAGAATGGTTGACACTATGGGCCGGTATAAGATTCTGACAGTATGATAACCCGGGATAAAAATATCACAGCTTTACAGGTTTACGGTATGTGATTATACCTCTAAATTATATTATTTTTTTAATGTCTGGGTAAAAAACAAAACCTTTTCCCCCTTCTAACACAGTAGAAACTTTTTAAAATATTTTGGAGGAGTAAACATGTCAGGCTAAATAATTCAAATGAATTATTGGTTTCTGCTTCTCTTCATAAGTTCAAAAACACGGAATTCGTTCAACCTAAAAATGCATATTTGAATATCTTTTCGGCTGGAGATACTGTTGTCCTAAAAAAAACAACGTAAATAAAAATATAAATAATCAGTCATGTCTTAAAGTTGCAATAATACTTTTTAACAATGCAAACAAACAATAAAACACCACTTCTTTGCTTAACTGGTATATCTGCAGTTTTCGCAACCTTAAAACATCAAGAGCAATCAGAAAAAAAGTTAAAAAAAAAATGGGAAACACTTTATTTTGATGGTCCAATTAAGTATTAGTAGACTGTCTGCTTAATATCTGTTGATACTGCACCTTTAACAGACATTTAACTCACTATAAGAAACTTTGCAAGTACATGTCAACTTACACTAACCCTAACACCAACCTAACAGTCTACTTTATAATCCAATGAGAATTAGCTGGCATGTAGATGCAATGTAACTTAAATTCAACAAACATACCATCAAAATAAAGTGTGCCCAAGAAAAGAAACAACTACTGATACTTCATTGATGTCTTATTGCTTTTACGGCTTGATTGCTTGGTCATACTTTAGCATCCATACTCAAATCATTAGATATTTTTGGATAAGAAAACCATCATGTTGAATCTGCTTAGTTTAAGAGATGCATGTACTGTATGTTGTGACATTTTCTATTAGAGGTTCTTGTTTTTACCATGGCAACAATAAAAGGCAAATATTTACCAGTAGAGGCCCACAATACAGTTTTCATAAAAACCCTCACTATTTTCGTTATGACTAGGGCCAGATGAAATCTGCGGACATTTTTTGCTATTTCTGCTGAGAATTTTGGTAAAAGTCTGCGGATTTCTGTGGAATTATTTTGGGAGTATAATAACTAAAACTTTAATATATGAAATAATACCTTTTTAACTTTTATTTAATGTTTAAAATGCAAATCCAATTAGATTCACTTTAATTGGTAAATAAAGCAAGTTTGTCATATAATATATCTAGTAAAAGACAGAAAATATTACTGTACAAACTGCATTGTACATAAATCAGATGAACATTTTCATAATAGTCCATAATATTACTGAAATTAATTTAAAAACTGAATAAATATGAATTTACACACATTTACTTAAGTAAATAAACAGAACTAATGATGGGCTAAAAATCTGCGGAATTCTTCGTGCGCAGATTTAGAGTGGGTCTAGTTATTACCATTAAAATTACTACAAAACCATTAGAACTTATGTCATCAGTTGTTATTTGTTTTTTAGCAGCGTTATTTGCCTTCATGGAGAAACTTTGATTTAGTTATTGATATACAAGTGGTGGAGAAGCCATATTTTGAGTACTTCATACAGGGGTCACCAACATGGTGCCTGCGGGCACCAGGTAGCCCGCGAGGATCACATGAGTTGCCCGTGGACCTGTTATTAAATTAGCTTACCATAGCACCACATACCAGTAAGCTGCATCTAATTTTTTTGTAGCTACAATTTTTAAATCACACTTGCATTGGTTGATATTTATCTGTTTCCAATCATTGTTGACAACTATTGTGAGAAATCATTAACATGATCAGTGTCTTCACATAGATGAATATCATTAATTATTAATAACATATAATTAAAAGTAAATTAAGCAAATTTGTTATTAGGAAGTGTGTATCAAACTGGTAGCCCTTCACATTAAACGATACCCAAGAAGTAGCTCTCAGTTTCCATAAGGTTGGTGACCCCTGACTTAAGAGAACTCAGAATAGAAACAATTTATAAACTTTAACACACTGCACTTTCAGATTTAAAAATTCACATGGTGTTTTTTATTCAATTAAAATGATGTTACACACAGCATAAGAGGTCATTTTTGAAAATGTATAATTGAGACACTTTAAACTCAAGACTTTGAATGGAAACATGGCTATTGACCCTCAGCATTAATTAGCTTACTTGAATTGAAAGTGTTGCTGTGCCACACATTAGAAAATGACCCATGGCAGGCAGCCTTTCATGTGCTCGCACAGTACCTCCACCTCCATCTCTCTCCAGTCCTGCACGAGTCTGATCAGCCTGCAGCTCATTATAGGCCACGTGCATGTGCAAGTTATAGCAACAGAGCGCAGGCTATCGCAAGACTGTTAATTACATCATTAATCCAGCAACCCCAGAGGCCGGTGGCATTGGCCAGCCCTAAATAGATTGATGCAGTGAGGGAAATATGAAAGCAGGCTTCATTTGTTGTTCATATCTGTGAAAGAAATGGTTCATGACACCTCTAACCAAAGCTGTTACCTTCACATTAAAAGCGCTGTCTCCTAAACTCAGTGTCATGTGCTTGTGTTAGCGCGCTCGTAACTAATTAACAGATGAATGTGGCCATTTGCCCATCAGCAGAAACGCCGGATTTCATTGTGAGCCAATACCATGTGACGACCTGGCGCACAATCAAACAATGTGTGGCCAATCAATATGTTATTTAATCTCCTGCGTTTTCCAAAGCGAGGTCAAGCACGAGAGGGCATTATGTGGAGCTAGAACTGGTCCTTTTGGGAGCTAATTATAGGGGGATGTGTCTGATACAGCGACAGGGCCAAGTTCTCCACTTTTCCCCCCATCCTCCTCTCTGAATTCATGACTCAGGCCACCTGTGTTTGCTAATGTCCCGCTGCCGTAATTCAATTTACTCTAGTGTCAGTAGGTTGTGATCTGTTTAGTAGAGGTCCTTCTGTGTTTTGGAGGCTGATTGAGTTTTGCAATGTTTTTCAGATGCCTAATGGGAACATTTTAATACTGGAGATGCACTGGTCAAAAGGCTATACATTGGAACTTGCTGTTTTCTTGCTTTCAGTGCAGGATTTCTAATTGTTTTACTTTTTTGTCTGTGTTTTGGACTTTTGCACAAATTGCATTGCAATCATTTTCAGTTATTTATTTGTGTGGTAGTGATAGGAAGTTTGTAAAAGTTTGCAAAGATGGAGAGAGATTATTTTATTCATATTATTCTTAATATTGGACATTCGTTTCAAATTGTTGCATGCTGACTTTTACTGCTGATGATAGATTTTAAAGACTTATGTGTGAGTCAAAGAGAAAATAGATGAGAAAACTTGTGGTTCACCTTATTGTCTGCATATCCCATATACAGTATTTATATTTACAACACTCAGACCCCCACAAACAGCTGTGTTTTAATGGGTGCCTATATTTTGAGTGTACGATTACTACACACTCTTGCATTGCCATTACTAAAAGCACAGATTAGCCTCATTCTAAGTTGAAAATGTACTGTATATACAGTACACTTATTATTATATAATGTAGTGCAAAACTGGCGGTTCATTCCACCCTGGTTACCCCAGATTAATGAAGGGACTGAGCCGAAAATAAATGAATAAATAAATGCCGCGTTTGTAATTACAGATTTAGCATATTAGGGGTTGCTTGCTTTGTTACATTACAGAATGATCATGTATATCGAATGATGATCTATCAAAAATAAAAATAAAAAGTATATAAAGGGGCTACTAATTTTGACCGTGAAAAGTCTTTTAAATTTAAATTAATAACTGCTCTTATTCTAGCCAAAATAAACCAAATAAGACTTTCTCCAGAAGAAAAAATATTATCGGACATACTGTGAAAATGTACTTGCTCTGTATATATATATATATATATATATATATATATATATATATATATATATATATATATATACATATATATATATATATATATATATATAGTTGGGCCAGTCATGGGGTTAATATATCTCTGAGGAAGACAAAAATTATTAGCGAAATGCTATATCTTTGCTATGAAATATCAACATTGGTGCATCATCTTTAGCCATAAACATGGGTAAAATGGTTAGTAGTCTTTTTAATATTTTTTTGTAACCCATTGAGCATCTTTTGTGTTCATTTTCCTCTGTATATGCCTAAAACCTGGTGAATACATTGCTGTTTATCTTTCAGTTTTTCTGAGATAGTCATGGATGAGCCCTATTTTTAACTGTATAATAAGCAAGACGGAGGACTGACGAGTCATGTACTAATTAGTTGGAAATAAACCTCTTCTGCAAGATGATGACTTGAGAACTATAGCAAGCTTAACTGGAAATAAAACCATGGCATGAATTCGAATCTCATGCGTAAACAGTTTGATCACAGTGTTTTTCAGTGGTTGCGTCAAACTAGTTTCTAATTTTATCCTCTCTCAATAGACTGCTGATCCAGGCTGGCATCGATATCAACAGGCAGACCAAAGCGGGCACTGCCCTCCATGAAGCTGCGCTGTGTGGGAAGACTGATGTGGTGCGCCTCCTGCTGGATGTAAGGGGAGAGCGAATTTAGTGCAGAACAACAGCAGCACAGTGCCTCATCGAACAAAAGCAGGAATTTATATATATATATTTATATATATATATATATATATATATATATATATATATATATATATATATATATATATATATATATATATATATATATATATAAAAACATTAGTTGAAAAAAATGAAATTAATTAACACATCCATCAAACTTTACTGTTTGTGAAAACAGCGATTTGTGATCAAGTAAAGGATAGTTCACCAAAAAAAATGAATATTCAAGGGAACAAAATAAAGAAATAGTCAGCAGTTTTTCTCCCTTTATGTGTCTCAAACATGTTTGAGTTAAATACAGAAGCAGAAATATTTTGAGAAATGTTGGAATCTGGTTGCCAATGCTATCGACATCAATAGTTTCCCCCTATATGAATATAAGTGGTTACCGGTTTCCAACATTCTCTAAACTACCTTTTGTACTCAACAGAGAAAAAGAAACTCATAAAGATTTGCAACCATTTAGGGTGAGTAAATTTTCATTTTTGGGTGAACTATCCTATATTAAACATAACTGACTATACTTCTGTGTGCATAATTGTACACAGCTAGTGAGCAGTGCATTTACGGTATTTCTCAGTTGCTTCATTACAGTACATTTCTCAGATCAGAATTCTCAAAATTACTCGTTTAATCTTCAGATCATTGTGTCAAAAAGCTGTACTAAAGCATTTGCGTTATGTACAGTTTTGTACAAAACAAGATTATGTGCTAATCAACATTATCAACTCAACTGCTTATGTCATGTTGGTCGAAATGTATTATAATGATCTTTGTTGAATAGTCTCAACCCCCACAGCATGTAGGCATTAGTTCATAGCATAAATTTTTACATGCAAATTGCTTGAACTAGTTGTTATAATATGTCAAGCATATTTTAATACATTTCCATTAGAGTTTTTTTTTCAAACCTCATGATTGTTCTGTTCCCATTCTACTTTTTTTTCCTTTGTGCTATGTAGTGCTGTCTATCCCAATGACATTGTCTGTCAAGAAATTACAGCACAAACAGTAAAAGCATAACTGTCCAGTTTTTCGCAATAAAACTCCTACATACACTAAGGTGTAACCTGCAATTTACAATAATTGTCATCAAAACTTTAGCCATAGTTTACATCAGAACATACCTCAAGAGTACATCATGATATTGACAACATGACTAAGCAGTTTAACTGTCTTATCCGGGCACAATGTCATTCTGATGGCACTGACATGTTCATTGGCACACATACTGTATTTATGTTTGAGAGATGAAGGATTTTGAGGCTATTGCTGGTAATCCATGGTGTTTTGCTATTTGTACATGTTGTCTTGAGAAATACTGTTTTGCAAATGTCAAGGATGATTCGTGACTGAGAAAAACTAATTTTAGATTACAATTGTTTCATTTATATTACAAGAGTTTTTACTAGATTAAGCTTGTTTAGTAGTTTACTTTAGTTTTTATAGGTAATTCACAAACAATTCTTATTTATTCATCCTTAAGTAATGTCAAACTCTTCATCCTTTAAACACAAATTAGCATCTTAATAAGATTTTTGGGCGATTTTGAAAGATTTCTACATTGAAAATAAATAATAAAAAGTTGTCAGTGTAAACTGTTTAATTCTCATATACCCTCCCATTTAAATAAAGCATATATATTATATATTTCACTGAGAAACAATTGGCCCATGTTAGTCAGTGGGATCTGGAACATTATCCAAGGTTGCTTTAAACTTCATCCTATAGAGTGGCATCAATGCAGCGGTGAGAAACACATACAGCCAGACTGCGCTGGACATCGTCTACCAGTTTACTGCCACACAGGCCAGCCGCGAGATCAAGCAGATGCTACGAGGTAAGATGAGAGGTAAATATAGATCACCTGTTTACATGTTTATTATAATATTTGTCTTCTGTAATTTTGCATTTATGTCTGTTGCATTCATGTCTCCGTTCAGATGCCTCAGCAGCCTTGCAGGTCAGGGCACTGAAGGACTACTGCAACAACTACGACCTGACGAGTCTTAACATAAAGGCTGGAGATGTCATCACGGTAAGATCTGCATAGAAAAATATTCTATTAAACATTTGAGAATATATATTAATATATTGATATAGGTCAAGTTTGGTTGTTCACAATAGAAATAAAGTCATTACATCAGTCATTGCTAAGCCCACATGGAATCTGTGCATGCAGGAAGCCACAGATTTCTACAGATTTTTAGCCCATCATTGAGTCTATGTATTTACCTGTGTAAATGTATGTAAAATTATATTTACTCGGTTTTTAAATGAATTTTACTAATATTGCTGTGATATAATAGTAGCAATATTAAAATGTTCATTTGATTCATTTACAATAGTGTTTGTAAAGTAATATGTTCTTTTAGGGGAGACAGATAAGAGATAATAGATACCAAATAAGATACCAAATAAGTGGATCTAATTAGATTTGCATTGTAAACATTAAATAAAAGTTAAACATGTATTATTTGTTGATTTCATATATTAAGTTTTAATTTATGATACTTCTAAAATTAGTTCCACATAAATCCGCAGATTTGTTACAAAATTCTCCGCAAAATAGCAAAAAAATGTCCGCATATTCTGTCTGGCACTATCTGGTGGTTGCTAGTTGGCTATGTCAGTGTACTATCAGAATTCCCCAAAAGATGGCGCTGTTTACTGCGTTTTCTTACGCAATGTCTAAAATAATTTAGATAAGTGCATCTGCTCCATTACGGAGAAAATGATTTCTTATTACTGTATATTAAATTTCAGTCTTGGAAATTAATTACGTTAACTTTTAATTGCATTATCTCAGAAACTTTATAGAGCTTAGATCAAAAGTTCTGGAGTCACAAAAATTGTAAAACGTTCGAAAATAGTTAATATCTTCTGATTTATTGATTGATTGTTTAATTAATTATACCTATATTTATTTTAAATGTCTATTTAGATAAGGATCTACTGATAATTTTATTTAAATTCACTGTTAAAAAAAAAAAAAAAAATATATATATATATATATATATATATATATATATATATATATATATATATATATATATATGATCAATTAGTCCTGACAGCATATGTACACTTTTAAACATTTGTTAAAACACCACTGTAAAAGAAAAAGAAACACACACACATGCACACTAGTTCTTTTTTTTTGTGAAAATATATGACAGTTTGCACAAAAATATTTAGCAACACAAGTATTAAAGTAAGAATAAATTTATATATTTAATTATTTAATTAATTAATTTTCTTTGGACTGTGGGGGAATCCGGAGCAAAACATGCAAACTCCACACAGAAATGCCAACTGACCCAGCCGAGGCTCGAACCAGCAGCCTTCTTGCTGTGAGGCAACAGCACTACCTACTGTGCCACCGCGTTGCCGTTTTTATTTATTCATAAAATCATACATTAGAATAATTGAAAACAGAGTAATGATAGTATAGTATCACCATTACTCAGAGAACAGATAGTCCAGAGAATACAGATTTTGCATCACAGAAAGTAAAACAAAAACATTTTAAAATATACATTATTTTATATTACAGTTATTTATTTTGCTAAATAATTGCATAACTTTAAACATTTTAACTGCAACATGGCATTTTTGTCATTAGTAAATGCTGCCTCATAAGCAATAAAACTTTAAATAAATTGTTCACCCCAAAATGTAAATTCTGCCATCATTAGCTCATACTCCACTTGTTCCAAACCTGTTTGCATTAATTTCTTTTGTTCAACACAAAGTAATATATACTGCAAAATTTTGGGGAAAAGCAGCCCCTGACATCTTTAGTATGTTTTGTTCCCACTATAGATGTCAGTGGCACTTTTTTCCAACATTATTCAAAATATCTTGTTTTGTGCTTCGAAAGAAGAAACAAATTCAAAAACAGTTGGGATGTGAGCAACTGATGAGGGGATTTTCATTTTGTGTAAACTATCCCTTTAAATGAAATCCTCAATTTAGATGCAGAATTTTGTGTTTGCACTTTTTATGTTCGTTTTAGCACTTTATATAAGGTATAAAACATTGATCTCAAACTCAATCCCTGGAGGGCCACAGCTCTGCAGATTTTAACTCCAACCACCTCCAAATCACACTTGCTTAATAAGCTGCATCCCAAATGGCTTATTATACACCATGCACTTATGCACGATGCACGATGCACTTACACACTCAACAGCAGAGTATATGTAGTGTCGTCCCAAATGGAACACTAACTTTTTTACCAAGCGGAAATTCTAACTATTTCCCAGATGAAGTTTGTTGATTGCCAAATTAGTGAAATAAATGGCCAAACACCCAAATAAAACCTGCCATGAGAATAACCACATTCACCATCGGGAGGCGCTATAATCACTCTCGTAGGAGAATTTTGCTTTCACAATCCATTATAAATGATGTAGTTGACTGCGTGAAGTGTCCATCTCTACACACTTCATTTTACTGGTTAAAAAAGTGCATCATCTGGGTATTTAAAGTGCACTTATTGTTTTTAGAGTTTTCAGTGTGAATGCACTTAGTTCTTACACTATTTATACTACAAAATGGCGTACAATAGTGCATAAGCATGCGATTTGGGACGCACCTATAGTCTCTAGTCTTGAACATATTGATTAGTTTGCTCAGCTATGTTTGATTAGGATTGGAGCGAAACTGTACAGATTGAGTTTGAGACTTGGTATAAAACACGTCTGAAGAATGTAAATGACCTTTATTGATTTTGAATGATGATGCTAATGATTCATGTGCAGGTTCTGGAGCAGCATTCAGACGGGAGGTGGAAAGGCTGCATACATGATAACCGCACAGGCAATGACAGAGTGGGCTACTTCCCCTCCAGCATGGTGGAGGTGATCAGTAAGAGGCCTGGGGCTGCGGGTAAGAGAGGACAACAGGCGGGTCAGTGCTGCCTCTTATTGAGACCTCGTACACACGTACAGATGCATAAGCAATGCTGCTGAACTCGATGACCCTGATTCTGTTCGCAGCCAGCTGTTCGTGCTGCTCATGTGCACTGGATTGAGAGCCAGACAGGGCCATCTGCTTTTGTGGCAACAAAAACAGGGCAAATTTAGAGCATCTTTAGCTTTTTTCTCATCCCTTAATGCTCAGTTAGAAAGGAAGCTGGTGATTAGTACTTTAAATAGAAAAGACCATGTTTCCGTTTATACACTGACAGAAGAGATGGTCTGTTGGTCAGCTGGAATCAAATAAAGCCTTTAGTCCAATGCTAGTTAAAGAATCAGATGTTGTATCAATGAAGCGCCAAAGTCCCTTTAAGGCATGTTATTTCACAAGGCGGCCATCTTTGAAATACCTCTATATAATTATAATGGCGTGTCCAATCACGCTGGTCTACTGAATTTATTCCCAGCTTGGTTTTGATGGCAAATCTCCTCCCAAAATGACAGCGGCCTACTTTACAAGTTTGTGGGCGTTCAAGTAGTTGCCGTCATGGGATTTGCATTTTATTTTGGTGGAAGCAGAGGTCAGATGGAACAGCGTACCTCGTGTTTGTTTCATAAAGATTACAAAGCAATAAAACATTTGTTTTTCAAGTGTAGTTGATTTCAAGCTTTGTGAAGATATATTTCTCATGTCTGTGAAGCAAGCGTTCGCTTAGATTCCGGAGGATTCATAACAATGAAGCTGCAGAAACTGTCATAAAACACATGTCTGGACTGAGCCCCTCTCCCGGAGAATCGTCACTCTATACTGATCAGTGTTTGGCTCCTTTATTAGACGGCATAGCTTCCTTTCCTAGAGCGACCACATTGATGGTTACACTTTTCCCCATTCAAATCTATACGAGTGAAACATCTTATGTAGTCTATAGTCTTTGGGAACACAAGACTCACACAATTCAAAACACTTCAGGTATTTGAAAGTTACATGATTGTATTAATTCTACAGAAGCTTTGGGTTAACATACTGTATATGTCCTTACAGTCCAAATGTATTTAAAATATATTTGTTGTTCTGTAGCATAAGAGTTTTGCACACTGATAGGTTTTAGAGACATCAACATTGCTTTTTTTATACTCCTGAACGTGACATAAAGCAAAAAAAAAAACTGACTGGTTGCTCTTCTGGCTCCACTGGCTTTTGGGACATCTTGGGCCAATGAAAGCTGCTATGCAGTCCAGACTGTCTGTCATCGGTTTAAAGTAAATATTGTAAAAATTTTACTCCTTGAAACCCTTCATTGCGGGTGGCTCTTTGAACCTGACAGTTCTGAGCACTTTGATTCTGAATGAGCCTGTAGTAGTGCAGTGGTTCCCAAAGTAGGGGTTAGGGTAGAAGTTGCTTGACGATTTCGGTAAATCAAGTTCATTTTATTAAACAATTAGAATGACCATATTTTATCCATAACCTACTAGAGAACAAAATTGTAGTTACTAGTAGCATTGTTAACATGTTAATAATTAACATTTTAAAAAAAAACTTGCAAATAAAAAGCCATTATTCGTTTTTTTTTTTTTTTTTTTTGCGACCCCTGGGGTGATTACATTATATTAAAGACACAGCAATAGCGTCAGACCAGGTTAAACTTTCTGACACCTTTATGGTACTCGCATATATATAAAATATATATAAAACAGTCCACAACTAAATGTAAAGGATGGTCTCCGAGTGATGTTCTCCAAAATCTAAAGAAAAATTGACTTGGGCCTATTATGATGTCTGCACCGTTGTGTGCAAGGTTTACATAATTATAACCACCTCAGAGAATATTGGGGGTTGTGAGCCACTGGCATTGTTATTTTCTGGGTCGTGGGCTGAAAAGTTTGGGAACCCCTGCTTTACTTTAAAACCTAATCGGTAGTTGTGTTGTAATAACCACTGTAAGTCTGCATGTTGTTGTTTTTCCCTGATGGAACAAGGCAACTAGGTCAATATTAGTGTGGGGGACATCTAGAGCTTCCTCTTACAGTTGTTCTCGTTCTTTATCCCTTTTGGGGGACCTCATGTTAACAGTAATGTTAATTGTGAGAAGAGATTAGACAAGGCCCTGAAAATCTGACCTTAAAAAAGAAAGTCATTAGGAATCAGAAGATGTAGAGCTTTATATGATCCATAACAGTGCACTCCTTTTATGCAGAGCATTTATGTCCGGACTATGGCTCTATTTGAGAATGGCAGCAGGGGTCTAATCTGCGTGTTCATTGTGTCTCATGCTTCACTAAGTATCCATGTCTGTGTCTACATCTGCTGCTTGATCTCCTTCACCCCATACATATTTTTGTGCCTTACTTTTATGCCACTGTGCTTTTTGGAATATTTCAACCATTTTTATAATGAAATCACAAGTTTTTAAGCAAAATAATCTTTAGGGATCAGTATTTTCTAAAACATTAAAGTGATAGGTCACCCAAAAATAAAAATTATGTCATGGTTTATTTACCCTCCACTTGTGGCAAGCCCGTTTAAGATTCTTTCTTCTGTTTAGGAAGATATTTTGAATAATTTTGGAACCTGGTAGCCATAGTGAATCTATGATAGCAGGTTTTCAGATATCTTCTTTTGTGTTCAGCAGAAAAAAGCAAACCACTTGGGGGTGATTGCAATTTTGGGTGAACTATGCCTTTTTTTAATGTGATTAGAGAAAAGAAGCTCTCTTGTACCTCCTACTGCGCTCACAGTGAACATAAATGGTCAAATCACACAGCCACCCACACACAGACTTACCGAAAAGAGGCATGCATACTAAAGTTCTCATTTTAGAAGCAGAAGATCATTCGATTTGTCCTCAGGCACTTACAGAAATGCGTTTCACTAGCACCAGCCCATCTCCAGTTCATTTCACTAACCTTGCATTTCCACATATCTCCTTCAATTCAAATACATATATATTTGAGAGTACAAACGCACTGACATTCTGACATCTTAGAGGAACAGTTCACAGCCATTTCACTCCTTCCACACCGAACAGCCGGAAATGAAAACCAAGCCTTTTCTTCTTTTTGATTTTGTCTCTTATGGTTTTGCTGATTTCTATTTTGTGATTGGTTGTGAGTTTTGTGTTTGGGTTAATTTGCTTTCCCTCTCTTATGTGTAATTGTTTTGTTTGTTGTGGTGGTGGTGGGTGCTGTGTTGTTGTATCTAGGTTCATGGAGTACAGTCACTTGTACCCAACAGTATCAAAAGATACAGCTCTGTGCGCCGGTGTGCGGCCCTGTGTCGCCCGCCGTTGCCATGGTGAATGGGGACTCGTATCATGAGATTCATATCCTGCCGCCTCCTCCACCTCCGCCACCACATTCCCATCTGCCACTTTTCACTTCCTTTGGCTATAACAGGTCCCCAAACACCCCAGAAGAGCCGCACAGTGGACAAGGTACAGATCCCCTAATCTGTCTCCACTGTATTATTATTATTATTTCTTTATAATTATTATCATTCACAAAGCTTTAAGGAGTGTGTTAAATTCCAAGAGTTTACATTGAAAATAGTCTGTATGCAAATTACAATTAGTGCAAAAAATCCTTAAAGTTTTCTGAATTGTTTTGAAAATTATTATTTCTCTTTTGCATTTAATTTAATATTTTTATTTTCTGACATTATTTTGGTTGTTGATTTTCTTTTTAGAGGCCAAGAATGATCAAGATTTGGCTAGTAAGTTCATTTAACCAGCACAAAAGAGGTTAACGGGCCTCTCTTTGTTGATGTGCTATCTCTCCTCTTTTACCCTTAAAATCTCCCTGATCTTGGTGCTATATTTCCCCTCTCTGTGATGACTACACCTGGGATTCATACACCTGCCCCATACAACCGTTCTCTCTTTTACACATGATCAATAGGGAATGCACAGCCAGCCTCTCACCCCTCCATACCTGCATCTCTGCACAGCCATCCGTTTGTCTGTGTGCCGTCAATGAGCATCTGTCTGTTTCATCTTTCCTTCGTCTCAGATGTACTGATCTCTCCATTCATATACTAACTCTGATCCTTTCAGCGATTGTGTATCAAACCAAACTTTGATATTGGTATGGAGCATGAAAGTATTCTCATGTACTCTGGATCACCGTGAACTGATATATGAATGTCTGGTTCATTTTTAAATAATCAGTGATCATCAGACCCACGTGGGAAATGATTCCTGACAACAATTTGTATGGCAGCAGCATTTAAATATTATTTTCTAATCTGAGTATATTATTTAAAGGGCACCTGTGATGAAAATCAACTTTTGTAAGCTGTTTGGACAGAACTGTCTGTAGGTAAAGTGTGTCCACAGTCATATTGGAGTGAGCTAATTTTTTTTAATCAACGTAACGTAGGTGTGCAGTTTCCCCGCCCACCAAATTGATTGACAGGCACCATGTTTCTATCATAAAATGAACATACGTGTCCACAGAACATTTTTTGCAAATAAACTGGAATTAGAATATTGTTTTATAAGTTTAGAATGTTTTTAAAACAGAGTATGTTTGTAATAAAGACTAATTCTAAGTATTAGTAATATACTTAGCAATTCTAAGTATTCACAAATTCTTAACGCTATAATCATCACGGCCACATGGTGTCAGTAAATGCTAATATGTGTGTGTTTGTGTGTATAGCAAATGGCATTTGTGTGCATCCTTTCAGAAAGGCTTGAATAAACTCCACCATAAATACATCAAATATACTTACTTGGTATTTTTGACTAATGAGCTGTATTTCACCTTCATCTGAGTCTGTCACAGACTTCTGTTTATCTGACGTAAGGCATGATGTGAAGCAGACACACGTATGAAAACAGTGGGCGGGGAGAAGCAGCTTGTTTGGATTTTGGTGGAATGAACCGCCAACTTATCCAGCATATGTTTTACGCAGTGGATGCCCTTCCAGCTGCAACCCATCACTGGGAAAGCTACAAAAAACAGCTCCAATGTATTCAGACACCAAAATGGGTGGATTTTGGAGACTATGATAAATAATCTGATAGGTATTTTGAACTGAAACTTGAGCTGAGACACCAAAGGCTGCCATCTTACATCTTGTAAAAGGGGTAAAATAGGTGCCCTTTAAACTATGAATAAGTCAGTTCTACACAATGTTTAAGTCATGTTTTTTCTTAAAATGGCAAAACAAACCTGCACTTGGGCCTGATAATCAATCAAGAATCTCTAAAAAGAGAGTTCAGCCAAAATGGAAAATGTTGTCATTGTTTAGTCACCCTTAAATGGCTTCAAACCTATATGACTTTTTCACTGTGGAACATACAAGAAGATTTTGATGATCCAAAAAATGGATAAAGATGCTTTTTTGACCCTTCAACGCCAGCAATTCTATTTTATTTATTTGTGAAAAATTTACACTGAACCTTTACTTGGTTTTTTTTTTTGTCCTCATTTAGTTAGTGACTTTAAATTAAAGCACTTGCTAAGCAAATTAATATAATAGCTAAATAAAGTCAAAGAAAGTCAGGGGTCAACAGCTTTAAATTGTATGGACCAGTGTAAACAGTAAAAAAATAACTTGGGGGTGAATAAATGATGAAAAATGAAAAGAATTTTGAGTGAACTGTCTCTTTAACGATATAATCTGTAAAACAGTAGGTCTCTTTTCAGTGATTGGAGACCACTGCCATAAAAATGGCGTTGTGTTTATTTGTATATAAACAAATTAACGTACACTTGTGTGTACACTTGTGATGTTTTGGAGACCCCAATGAACTATGCTCCTGTAATGCACTGCAACTCCTTTTGTTGTTATATATATATATATATTTACATATATAATCATATATTCCTGTATATATTATATATGTTTTACCTATGTGTATGTGTAAATCAAGGCATATATATATGTATATAAAGTACATGTTTCTGCTTAAATATTTCATGTACCTCTGTATATATCAATGTTCATATATATTTGTGTTAGATATACAGTATATATATGCGTGCTTGCCTTGTGTGGGTGTTTGAAAGAGAAAGTGGTTAGAGCGCATAGACATAGTTTAGCTTTCCTCTTGCTTGACCTCTCCAGAACACCTATGATCCCGGGCAGGCGGCGAAGCCAGGGCACAGTTAATGATGGTTTCTGTGTTAAAGGTTCTCGTGGCTCAGAGTCCAGTCCACATGGCTCACCCACCCCAGCTGGTGGACCCCAGGGTGGAAGTAGCGAGGAGATCTGGGTGCTGCGCAAGCCTGTGGCAGGTAACAGCAGGGCTGCCCCTTCCTCCACTTCCCTCTCATAACTCTCCCTGCTTTGCCACGCTCTTGGTGCAGCTGCTGTCGCCTGACCTCAGACCTCCTCAGCTGCAGGCGTGTAGGCGCGCATTGAGAGACTCTCATCCGCTCTGTTAAAGTAACATCCATGGAGTCGTTCCTTCAAGAACACACATCCAGACAATCAACAGATGTGTGTAGACGGCATTTTCAATAAAGCCAGTGTAGACCTGTGTGTGTTTGTAGTAGTGAGTAAGCTAACATGTCTCGTGTTCATTGGTCACCTTGTCTGTGGTCATCATTGTCATGTACGTTTCTGTCATCCCGCGTATCAGATCAGTGCATTGCAGAGGGGAAGTTCATAGTGGTGTGTTTAAAGGGTTCGGGGCAGAGATGTCCAAAGGGGCTGACTGTGTGTGTGTTTGTTGGGGGTTTGTTGTTCCAGGTGGAGACCGCAGTAGTGTGGGCAGTTCAGGCAGTGTGGCCAGTGCCCGATCCTCTGGCAGTGGACAGAGCGCAGGCAGCACCAGTATCCTCCATGCTCAAGCAGAGGGAGTCAAGGTGAGCAATCTGATATGAAATATTTTTGTAGTATTCAAGTATCTAATACAAGTTTAGTTGTATTTGCCAGTCATCTCCAAGCCCCAGCCAGCCCGAGATGGCTCCAGCACATTTTATTCTAGTTCATATAAAATAGTTTGTCAAATCATTCATTTATTCGTTTTTAACTAAGTTTTAACTTTTCCGAGGCTGGGTCATGGGGGCAGCAGTCTTAGCAGAAAACCCCAGACTTCCTTCTCCCCAGTCACTTCCTCCAGCTTTTCTGGGTCTTCCACAAGGCCTCCTTCTTGTGGAACATGCCTGGAACACCTCCCTAGATAGGTGTCCAGGAGGCATCCAAAACAGATGCCCAAGCCACCTCAGCTGACTTCTCTCGATGTGGAGGAGCAGCAACTCTACTCTACTCTAAGCTCCTCCTGGGTGACAGAGCTCCTCACTCTATCCATAAGGGTACGCCCTGCCACCCTGTAAAGGAAACTCATTTCGGCCGCTTGTATCCGAGATCTTGTCCTTTCGGTCATGACCCAAAGCTCATGACCATAGGTGAGAGTAGGAACGTAGATTGACCGTTAAATCGAGAGCTTTGCCATTCGGCTCAGCTCCTTCTTTACCACAACGGACCGGTACATCAACCGCATTACTGCTGCTAATGCACCATCTCATGTTCCATCCTACCCTTACTCGTAAACAAAACCCCAAGATACTTGAAATCCTCCACCTGGGATAAGGACTTTCCTCCAACCTGGAGATGACAAACCACCTTTTTCCAGTGGAGCACCATGGCCTCGGACTTGGAGGTGCTGATACTCATCCCAGCCACGTCACACTCGGCAGCAAACCGCCTCAGTGCGCGATGTCAATGTCAGTGTCAATTTTATTTATATAGCACTAATAAACACAACCAGAGGTTGACCAATGTGCTTCACAATACACATTACAACAAAAAAATATATAAAAACAGACAATTTTCATTGATAAAATGCCAAATCAAAGAGGTAAGTTTTTAACCTAGATTTAAAAACAGACAGAGGTGATATACAACTAACACAGAGGGACAAAGCATTCCAGAATCTAGGACCAGCTACTGCGAAAGCACTGTCACCCCTGCTTTTCAGCCTTAACTTGGGTATACACAATAATCTCTGGTTTGAGACTAGGCTGATGCTCAATCAACATGTCTGACAGATAGGAAAGTGCCAGGCCATTTAGAGATTTAAAAACCAAGAAAAGAATTTTAAAAATGACTTGATAGTGAACAGTGCAAAGGTAAAAAGCCTTGCAGCAGCATTTTGAACTAACTGTAAATGGAATAAGGTTGTGACTAATCCCAATGCATAGTGAGTTACAATAGTCCAATCTAGTGGTTATAAAAGCATGGATTTTTTTAAACATTTTTTCTAGATAGAACCGTTTTAACTGTTCGATTTAAGAGTCAAAGCTGAAAAAAGCAGGATATAACCACTGCATTTATCTGTTTGTCAAAGCTCATAATCCAGAATAACACCTAGATTTTCTACCCAAGGCTTCATAGAAACACTTGATTTCAAGATTAGCTATAGGTGCTCTAGAGGAGTTTGACAGGACAAAATTGTTACTCTCATTAAAATCTAGAACTTGGACTTGGTTTTAAAGGCAGGTAGATTTGGGTGTCATCTGCATAACAAAGAAAAGACAGACCATGTTTTCTAAAAAAACAAAACGATTTTACCAATAAACAATCAACTTCAGCCAGTTGCATGAGTTGCTGGATTTTCTCACAAAAAAAAAAAAAAACATCTTGCAATGCGTTGTTTTCCAATGCTAAACATAAGGGTGTGCACTTAAATTGTGTGGTCTGCATTTATATTATGTTTTTCTTTATTTGATGATCTTTGTTTATCCTGTAGCTTCTGGCCACGGTTTTGTCTCAGTCTGCCAAAGCAAAAGAACACCTGCTGGAGCAGACCAAGTCTTTGGACCACCCGTCTCATGCTTCCAGCAACAAGGGTTAGTAGCAGTTTTAAGCAACTCTTCTGAAAAGAAATCACATGACAGTTCCCTGTCACAAAGAAGTATCTCCATCCAAAATGTTAATTTGGCTGCATTTTTTTGTGCCAGATGGTTGCACTAATATTTGTGGGTGGGAGCATCACAAAGATCTGATTGGTTCAGCTTGAGTTGTTGGTCAGAAAATCATTAAAGGAATTGGTTGTGCAATAGCAATGCTCCAATGTGAATGAATGATCTCATGGCTGTTCTAGGACCCTCCTCGCGCAGTCAGAGTTTGTCAAGCTGTCCACTTCACGAGCAGCCATATGGGGAGGCGGTGTCCCAGAGGAAAGGGGAGGCACCGCCTGAGGGGAAGGTAAGAAGACTACTCCGACTTGAAACACACTGACCCCTTGCCTTTCCCACAAACAAGCATACACTCATTCTTACGCACATACACATACATGCACTGGCATCTGCACATCCAGGATGCTTTCCCAGCACTTTCTCTCACAGCTGGCATCTTCCGTATTGCGTGCTCTTGGTTGTCGTCAGGACACGGTGAGTGCGCTTCTCAGCAGGCTTCAATCACGCTGTCCTCAGCTTCAGGCTTCATTCAGCCACTCTGTTTAATATTGACTATCTCTTTGATCATTCATTTCATTTTTTGTGCTGCATTTTTAAGTCCATTACGATTCTTTGCCTTCTTTGCAGTGTCTTTCATCTTATGATTTCTTTTCAGAGAGTACCCAACAATGTAGATGTGATTGAATGCTAAGTGTAACAGATTATACAGTAAAAGGAGAATGATCAAGATTTTTGTCAGTCCACGTAGGGACTTGTTGAACAGTTTTAGGTATAAAGGAATTGAGACTATGATGGTTGAAAGTTACCCCAACACAGCTAAAAATAACACTGTCCAGGTTTTAGTTACCATTTGTGAGATTTCAAATGAGTATTTCTTGCAGTTGATTTTTCTAATTAGCTGAAATCAGAAACTCCTCCATTTAGTCACATAACAGAGATATGTGCCTGCCATATCCTTCCCAGCAGGACTTTGGAGCTGCTGAGTGGAACTGCTCCATGTTGGACTTCTGGACTAAGGGCCATCTGTTCAAAATAGACATATTTTTTCTGCTGCCCACCTCCTCTTTACTCTCGCCTCTCACTCACAGAATTACAGTACTTCCTCCTATTTCAAGGCAATTGGCATTTCAGATACTGTATGGACTCTTTTTACAATCTATTGGTTCAGAAATGACAATCCTTTTTTGCTAAAGCTTTGTCCCATGTTACAAAAACATACATTAACCAGAAGCAACTATTCTTGAACTACTGCAAAGACCAATATTATAATAATAAAAAGTAGATTCGTATTATTTAAGAACTGACGTAGCTTAGTGAAGTTGAAACATTGGTCAGTGAGACTAATGTTTTCAGCTTGTTTTCCTGGGGTCTGGTCCATATTTAGACACAGGACCCAAACAGTGATAGACTACCACCTATCTTCTCTTCTAGAGCTCAGAGGCTGTTATCGAATGGCTGAGTGAATTTCAGCTGCAGGTCTACGCTCCAAACTTCATCAACGCCGGCTATGACATTCCTACCATTAGCCGAATGACCCCAGAGGTAAGAGTTGTCCCCCCTCCAATCCCCTTAAACTACCCTAAACTTCTCACGTCACTTCCCTTTTCCCTAAATGTAACACCCACAGACCCACACAAAACAAAGGGAATAATTAGTAGTAAGAGGAATCAAGCAACAAACATGGATTTTTAAATAGTTTGCAAAGAAGTGAAAGCAAGAAAAGCCACAGAGATGGCCCACAGGATTTATGAGAGTTAATGATCCATGGCTATATGGGTCAAAACCTCACTCTAAATATTCCCCCGAACAGTACCGCTGTTGTGGTTGTCAAATGTGATTGTCTTTTCCTTGTGTGTTGGTATTGCGATGACCCACATAAAACTGTATAGCACGTAATTAATGTACATGCTGTTGTAAGAAATCAACGGCATTTAGTCATGTTTATAAAAATTGCATATTAGCTTTAGCGAGTTTTAATTAAAAGTAAGTATTAATACTTCATAGTTCAATACCTGAAACATAACCTCTTTGTCCAATTAAAATTCCTGGAAGTATGCTCATTAGTATCATGTTAAACTAATGGCTTAATGAAATGTAAGTACTTATTAATGCATGCATTTCTGAACATAGATTTAACAATGGAATTTTGATCATAGATAAAATTGAGGATGAACTTATATATGATTATATATGTGTTTGAGGGTACTCTGGAAAGGCTTCTTTTCCTCACTTGCTCCTGGTGTTATTTTATTTTTCCCATTCACTTTCCCATGTTTTTCATTTGCTTCTGTCATCCTGTACCTTTTGTTAACTAGAGTGTTTGATGTGTTTAAGTGTTTAATCTTTTTTTGTGACAACAAAAGGTTAATGTGTGCATAATATGCACTAGGTTAAACATTTCTGTTTGTTCAAATGGAGTTCCATTGTGATTAGTTATGAATCTGAAGGGTTCTGGAACTCCTTCATATATTTTCAGGACTTAACAGCTATTGGTGTAACTAAACCTGGACATCGAAAGAAGATAACTTCAGAGATCAATAAGATCAGTGTTAATGAGTGGCTGCCTGACCAAAAACCGGTGGGTTTGCCATGAACACACATACACATATACAAAAACATTCAATGACGTCCAGATGTAATTTGCTTTGTTTGCATACTATCTGTAGGCGAGTCTTGGAGAGTGGTTAGCCATGATTGGATTGAGCCAGTATCACCAGGTTTTAGTCCAAAATGGCTACGAAAACATTGACTTTATCACTGATATCACGTGGGAGGATCTTCAGGAGATCGGGATTACAAAACTTGGTAAGATTAAATTAGAAGACAGTAGAATGGGATCCATTTTGAATTCGTTTAAAGGGGACCAATTATGCCCCTTTTTACAAGATGTAAATTGTCTCTGACATGAGTGTGTATGTGAAGTTTCAACTCCAAATACCAAACAAATAATGTTTAATGATTTTTGCATAATAGGTCCCCTTTAATACACACACATGCAAATGTCTTTCTTTATTTTAAACTACTTGGCTATTGTGGTTTAATCTCTTTCTCTGACCAAATTTTCCTAGGACACCAGAAGAAGCTAATGCTTGCAGTGAAGAAGCTGGCAGAGATCAAGAAGGCATCTGATGGTCGTAATACATTGCGCAAAAAGCCTCCAGCTGCTCAGGAAGTAATGGCTATTGAGAGCCCACCCCATGACAGTGGAGAGTGTATGTCCCCTAAAATGAGCACTTTCCAGGACAGTGAACTGAGCGGGGAGTTACAGGCAGCTCTTACGCGCCCTGCTGATGTGCAGGATGGCACAGAGGTCAGAACCAACAGTGGCCCACAGCACAGAGCACGCAGTCTGCATGAGAACAGCATTAATAAGAGCCGAGACACAGAAGAGCATAGTGGACCACCCAAAAAGGAGGCACGTACCATGCGACAGAGCAGCCAGGGAGGACAGAGAAATGTTTCATCATCGCAGCCAAAACCACGTCAGTCTTATCCCCAAGGTACAGGTCCTCCCTATACTCCACCTCAAACGCCCACCAAAACAAAGCCTCCCGCCTCACAGACAACAAGCAACCCCCCAGGAAAACCGAAACCTAGTCCGCAGATTGTCCAGCAAACAGAAAAACCTATAACACCTCGTGGTCACCCGCAATCCCCAACTCAAAGGTCCCATCCACACCCTGCTGCCCAGCCTGTTGAATCAATAGAAGCTCCTCCCCAAGGACCTGCTGTTTCAGTGCCACTCTTGTGCCTGCCACCAGATGGCGATGAAGCTTGTGATGAGTATGGTCTGCCTAAAAAACGTGCCCATAGCCTAAATCGCTATGCTGTGTCTGATGGTGAGCAGGAGCGGGATGAGCTGAATGTGCCTGATTCAGGAGGAAAATATGCTACAGTACAGCCTAGGGTGGGTCGCAGCAACTCAATGAAGGGACAGGCAGACAAGAATGTCAACCGAAGCCAGTCTTTTGCACTCAGACAAAAAAAGAAGGGTCCTCCTCCACCTCCTCCTAAACGATCTAGTTCAGCCATCTCAAGCTCCAGTAGTAATCTGACAGAAGTGCCCAAGGAGACTAACAGTGGACCTCTTCTGGATATTCCCTATCAACCACAAAGGCGTGCCAGTGACCTGGGTGGCACTGTAGACACAGGCAGTGCAGGTAGTGTGAGAAGCATTGCAGCCATGTTAGAAATGTCCTCTATTGGTGGAGGTGCAAAGGGTCTCGCTTTGCAGAAATCTGCTGGTCACTATCTGCAGGTAAGTTTGTTGTCATAGTGCTTTTTTTTATAAAAATGTCCATTATATGGTGCTGTAAATCATGGCTTTTTCTCTACAGGTGGGTTCAGGAGCAAAGCAACGTGATGCCATTGGACTAGATGGGGAAGTAGTGAACCGCCGCAGGACCATTAGTGGACCTGTGACTGATTTAGTAGCAGCTGCTAAGCGAGGACCAGAGTTAATTCAGGACAGACAATGCACTGAAGCCCAGCCTAGTTCTAGTGGGAGTTCCGCTGAGAATCTTCCATTTGCTGAAGATGGAAATCTCACTATCAAACAAAGACCTAGACAAGGAAAGGACGAGGCTGAAGAAGGCCTAGAAATTTCATATTCTTTACCCCATGAAGATCTTTCTCGTGCCGATTCCACAGCCTCATTGAAAAGGAGTGTCCAGACCACCAGGCACCAACCAAATGGCACCAAGTTCCATCTCACAGAGTCAAACACAGTTAAGCGCCGTCCCAAGAGCAAAGACAAAGATGCAGAGGAACTTCAAGATGGACAGATGCCTGTACCATATGAGAATGGGACAGGCACAATTAAAAGGCGTCCTGCGTCAGATGTGACTGTTTCAGAGCAGCCAAGGCCCCAAGAACATCCTGAGAACTCGCCCCGTCGAGACAGTGCCGACCTGGAAGGCCATGTCACAGAAAGTACCCCTCGCAAGTCTGTCAAACCTCCAGTGTCTCCCAAACCTGTTCTGGCCCAGCACATGAAGAAGCAGGGACCAACAGCTGCCATCACCAAGAAAGCCCCCTTTCCTGGACCAGCTGGGGCACCTGGCAGCCCAGGTACTACACAGTGCGGCCCTTTCACTTGCCCTGTCTTTACACAATTATGTGAGTATCCCGTAGACCCCTGTAGTGTTTACTCTGTTGAATCAAAGTCAGCTCAGTCAGTGTCTCTTCCCATCTCTCTCTCTCTCTATCTCTATTCTCTTCTCTTTACAGTTGAAGGAAAAAAAGTACCTCCTCCGATTTCACCAAAACCTACACCCCCTCCCACAGCTCCAAAACCATCAAAAAATGTTCTTCAGTCTTTAAATGCAACACCTAATCCCACTCCCACACCTTCTCCAGCCAAACAGACTGTCACCAGAATGGCTAGTACAGCCTCTGCCCAGACCAACCACCCTGTCAAGGCTACAACCCCACCAGCCTTGATTGTGCAGACGCCTCACACACCCCAGTCCCCTCACACTCCACAGACACCTCAAACTCCACAAACGCCCCAAACTCCCCCAACCCCCACCCCTACACCCCCACCTGTAAAACCTCCTCGCTCCTCAATTAGTGGGGTGTCCATGGACAGTTCAACTGGATCAGCATTGGTCGCCGGGGTTGTGACAGCAGATGCAGTGCACCAGAAGATAGAGGAGACCAGTGCCTCACTGGCTGCAGCCCTGCAGGCAGTAGAACAGAAGATCAAAGAGGATGGACAAAAAGAGTAAGTCTCATGCAACATGGAAAACAGTTTGCAATAAATGAATAACTGTGCTGTGATCTACTCTTATTTGAGGCATGAACAGATAAAGGGGATATATTTAGGCAAGGCTTTGGTGTTTAAACTGCTGAAATATGTAGGTATCTCAGTGACAAAAATTGGCACCCCCTGGCTTGAGAATAAGACATATTTAGTGATAGTGCTCTACTCACAAAATTTATAATTAAGGCCTAAGAAGTTCACTTGGGAAGTGTTGACAAATAAAACCCTTTCAACGTTACAATTTTCATCCCCATACTTGCCCAATGATTACTTATACAGGTATATTTTGTTAGTTTGGTCCACATTTATGCAGATATCCATTGCAACCCTAATGAAAAATGCTGATCAAGGTCTAAAACCTTTTTTCCACTGCAAGGGGTAGTACAGTTATCTCTTCTTTCTTCGGTTCAGATTTGCTTGGTTTAGTTTGCATTTCCAATGCAGTTAGAATATGGTATAGTGGGTGGGATTGTCGCTGACCAATTAGTGATCAGCATTGTGTATACATCAAGTTTTGTTAGTAGTATGGCTTACTTGTATCTTCATCCAAGGTAATACTAAAAAGAAGCACTAGGTACAGAATGCAGTAGAAAAGTCCCCAAAACTTAGCCATTGTACCATGCAGTGGAAAGCACCTTAAAGGTTGATCTTTACTTCTGTGTCAAGTGTAGGCATAATCTCCGGTGCAGCCTGCGTGCAGTCACGAAAGCCCTTGCCATGGGTGGCGCAGACGATAATGCGCACCTCTCAAAAAATGTAACTACACATCGCAATGATGCGTAGCGCAAGCACTGTGATTGATTGGCTTGGTAATGGTGATGAACGTGGGTGGTGCTGACCAGATGAACCAGATGAAGCGATTGTTTACATGTGTCAAGTTCCATAAAGGAGCTCCAAATGGAAACATTTGTTTTGTGTTCACCTTATGATTAAAGTTTTCGCACATCCGCCGGTTCATGTCTCTGAATGAACAAGTTTTATCTACTTATAGAGTTCAGAAGAAAAAAAAAAACAGTCGCGAAGAAACTCGACAAAGAGGAACATAAAAACCTACAGCCAGCTAGCGTTCTGGAAGTGTTATTGCAGAGCAACACAAACAGCACGCAGAAGTATAAATGCACAACTACACGCAATGCTTGCGCCGTGGGTCACACGATTCACTCGCTGCAGAAGTACTAATCAGTCTTTAGTGTTACTAGGCAGGTTAGAAGGTAATGAAAGTTGGATCAAAACTCTTTAGGGCGTTGGTTTTAAAGGACAGAACCTGGCCACCTATGTCATACGTTAATGGTAAAAGGTAATCAAGTGTGTTTTTTTTCCACAGCTCAATTGCTGAAAACAAGAGCACAGTGAGTATCCTTGATGACATCGGCAGCATGTTTGATGACCTGGCCGACCAGCTGGATGCAATGCTGGAGTGAAGAGCACAGCCTGTGTCTCTGTGGCACAACCTCAGGGCCCCGGGAGAGCACAAGGGCACAATGACCAACAGCACCTATTCCTTGCTATTCCTTATCACTTGCTCCTCACCCCTCCCCCCTCCTTTTCTCTTGCTCTTTCCCCGTTGTTATGAAACACCCATCTCTCCTCTCCCCCTCCAAGTTGGTTTGCACAAACCCGAGCTGACGTACCTCAGGACTGGGCAGAAGGCCATCCAGGGCTTTAAACAACAAAGACAGAGCAGAGGGTGGAGATGCAGAGAGTGGGTTTTAATAGATAAAGCTCAACTCTCTGTCCATGGAGCGTCTCTATCTACCATGAGCAATGAGTAGTGAAATAATATGAAAACAATAATAACTGTATATGAAATAATAGTATGGTATGTGTACATTGTAAGCATGAGGAAAGTTTGTATCTATAAGAAAAAATCTCATAGTGAGAGTCATGCATTAGTACAGTTATATATATATATATATATAAATATAAAATATAAATATTTTATGTTTTTATTTCATGTTCAATGGTACATACAGTGTTGAAACATTAAGAAATCTATAAACTTTGATGACAGATATGTGGATTTTTCTATGACAAAGTTTTAAAACAAAAAAAATAAGGCTGGCTTAAACATCCTGTATGTTTGGCTGTGCTGTGCTGAAGAGTGTTGTGGGCTGTGTTGAATGTAGTGACTGAAGTGGCTGTTTCACCCCCTGCTCTGTGCTTGCTCTGGGCTCCCGCTCTCTGCTGCTGTGACCCTGCTGTTTCCATACACTTTTTCTTTTTGCCTGCGTGAACTCGTACATTCCTGCTCCTACACAGCCTTCTTCCTTTTACATCCCTCTTTCTTATCCTGCCCTCATTGTGTGCAGTGTCCTGTGTGCCTTAACATGAGAGGTGACCTTAGTGCTGCTAACATACACAAGCAAACCAGTTCAAACTGAGACAGGTCTGGTATCCATGTGAGAGGCATTGCCTTAAGCCAGTGTGAAGGGATGAACTTGCGCATTCAGATTTGGTAAGGAGTGACCTCATCCTTGAACATCTTTATGGTTCAGTCATCTTCAGCAAGGGGATACACGGTGTAGGCCTTGAAGCCAAAACAGGATTTGTAAACAAGGGACTTGATTAGCAGACTCTTTGGCAATAGATTGGATAGTGAAAGCAGGTGTAGAATAACTTAAATGTTGATTAGGAGACTATGCAGACTAAAGAACGGTACACACCAAGCCGACTTCAAAGAACTAGTGGTGATGAAAACCGTGTGTTGTTGCCTCCGTTGGCTTCATCTGGTGCTGTCTGGAGCAAAAAGCTGCATATAAACACACCAAATGGACAAAAGCTGAACAAAACTAGAATGCACATGCTGTACCTGCATGAGAGGATGTATAGTTACATACCTGCAGGTAGCACAATGTGTCTTGTCATTCCACAAAGAGGAACTAGAGCTGCATGCATACAAACCATGAACAAAGCAGGGTTTACATACCATTTTCAGAGTAATTCTCGCGTACCACAAAGGGATTGCCTCAAGCAAACGTGTCTCATAATCCATATCTAAAGAAACGCAACGAAATTGTCACCAGGGCACTCTTGACTTGCATTGTTTGCTTAGTTTTGTCACTTTATAGTCACATTTTTTTCTTGCACTAATTAGAGCGATCCTTCACTCACAGCCAATACCGATTCTACATGCTGAACTGGGCAAACTCACTCTAACGAGAGGGGGCACCAAGCAAACTAGCTTGAAAGCTTGCCAATATCCAGATCCTGCCTAATGGTCAACTGTCAACTTGGTGTGTCCTAAGCCCAAATTATACTTTGTTTTTATGTGTATATGGCAATGTGCAAATTTCTGGACTAAAGTTTGTTTATTAATGGTCTAGAAATAATCCTTCTGGTCAGACTTTTCCAAACTAGGCCAGGGGATGAGGATTAACTCCCTTACTCATGGTCAACACTGGCACTGATTTCATACCTGCCAACACTCTTGTCAACCCAGTAGTCTCCCGTATTTCAGACTGATCTCCCACCACCCTCCCATTATGTTATTTCTCCTGGAAAACTCACATTATTTAAGCTTTTTCCCGTAATCCTCGGCTTTTTGGTATAGTCTGTAACACAAGTTGCCAACTTTTGTATAGTATCCGATTACAACAGCTGCCCTAAACCCGGTCCATAGTACAGTTAGTAACACCACAGTGCAGTTACTAACCTGGTTCACAGCTGTGTTATTTAGACAAACACACACAATCCAACCCCATCAATTCCCCCGGAATTTCAGAGACAAATGTTGGCAAGTATGATCTACATTCACCAGCCACTTTATTAGGTACAAATTACTATTAAAGGGTTGGACCCCCTTTTGCCTTCAAAACTGCCTTAATCCATTGTGGCATAGATTCAACAAGGTACTGGAAATATTCCTCAGAGATTTTGGTCCATATTGACATGATAGCATCACGCAGTTGTTGCAGATTTGTCGGCTGCACATCCATAATGCGCATTTCCTGTTCCACCACATTCTAAAGGTGCTCTACTAGATGGAGCTCTGGTGACTGTGGAGGCCATTTGAGTACAGTGAACTCATTGTCATGTCCAATAAACCAGTCTGAGATGATTCGCGCTTTATGACATGGCGTGTTATCCTGCTGAAAGTAGCCATTACAAGATGGGTACACTGTGATCATTAAAGGATGGACATGGTCAGCAACAATACTCAGGTTGGCTGTGGCGTTGACACAATGCTCAATTGGTACTAATGGGCCCAAAGTGTGCCAAGAAAATATCCACCCACACCATTCACTACCGCCACCAGCCGGAACCGTTAATACAAGGCCGAATGGATCCATGCTTTCGTTGTAAACATCTAGTTCTGACCTGACCATCTGAATGTTGCAGCAGAAATCGAGACTCATCAGACCAGGCAACTTTTTCCAACACCTATTGTCCAATTTTGGTGGGCCTGTGTAAATTGTAGACTCAGTTTCCTGTTCTTAGCTGACAGAAGTTGCACCGGGTGTGGTCTGCTGCTGATGTAGCCCATCCACCTCAAGGTTGGACATGTTGTATGTTCAGAGATGCTCTTCTGCATACCTCGGTTCTAACGAGTGGTTATTTAATTTATTGTTCCCTTTCCATCAGCTCAAACCAGTCTGGTTCTCCTCTGACCTCAATCATCAAGGCATTTGTGCCCACAGAACTGCCACTTACTGGATATTTTCTTTTTTTGGGACCATTGTCTATAAACCCTAGAGATGGTTGTGCCTGAAAATCCCAGTAGATCAGCAGTTTCTGAAATACTCAGACAAGCCCGTCTGGCACCAACAACCATGCCACATTCAGTCCCTTATATCACCTTTCTTCCACATTCTGATGCTCAGTTTGAACTACAGCAGATCGTCTTGACCATGTTTACATGCCTAAATGCATTGAGTTGCTGCCATGTGATTGACTGATAAGAAATTTGCGTTAACAAGCAGTTGGAGAGGTGTACCTAATAAAGTGGCCAATGAGCGTATTTTACTCTTTTTGTCAGTAGTTACAACTTGCTGACAAATGACCCACAAGCATATGTGCATGGCCATATTGCATGGTTACAAAAAAACAACAATATGCACATGCAGTTCTGGTGATAAAATCTGTGCTAGGCACACTGTACACAACAATAGAAGTATACTTTGGGCTTGAAGGTGCAACCGTATTGATTGTTGTCTGTGAAAAATATGTTAATTCATTCTAACAGGTTTTTTTAAGTTCACATTGACATGTTCATTAACAGAAAACTGTTCCAACTGTTTCATACAAATCTAACCAGTTGGCCAATAGTTTGTTGTTGCTCCTGAAATTTCACTGCATTTCCGCTAATGTGGCCAGGCCTTTTGTGGAGAGCATGAAGGAAAACAAATTTGTCCTAAAAATAAAGTGTGTCAATGGATTGTTCACAGCAAGATCGGGATCATGCATTAAGCAAATAAATAGGGTCATGTTGACTTTTTACTACATTAACCCCAGAAACAGGAGCAGGAATGAGATAAAAGGGTCCAGCAATGGTTGATGGCTTTTGACAAAATGGGACGCCAAGAAGCACAAAGTGAGAAGTTGCACATGTGTGTATGAAAGAGAGAGAGAGAGCTGCATAGAATATAAATATAAAAGTAACGCATGTAAGATGTAGTGGACTGAACTTCGTGAACTAACAAGGATTTTGCAGAGGTTGATGAGTCTTGATGCTCAGCATTTCCACCTCAAGGAATCTTCTTTGCTTAAGGGTTTATGAGCTTGGAAAGTGTAGTTCCGCTGGAAGCCTGCATGCCGTCTGACCTCAGTTTATCACTCAGTGGCTGTTTAAGGGTGTGAATGTACCATGGTGTGCCTGCGTTATACTGCATTCCCCCTGCCCCAGACTCATCCAGACAGATGTTTCCTTAATGACCAAAGTTAGAGCACTAGAGTTCAAGATGCAATTATCCACGGGTTCAGAGAAGCAGCAGTTTCTAGGTTAAACAGATTCACAGGGAATCACATCGAGTAACTTTCTAAGGACATATTGAGGGTAGACGAAGTTGTAAAGTTTGGTCTCTGTGGACATGAGATGTTTCCACATGCCTCATTTACCGTACGGTGAGTTTGCTGTTATGACAGCACCGTTCACAACTAAACCTCTGAATGTCATTATCTCCATCGCCAGCAAACTCGCAGAAGCTCATTACTTTAACCATCTTTGTTGCCATGACAATCTGCCTGCTCATAATTAGAATCGTCATAGTATCAAAATGATCTTAGATGTAATTAAAAAAAAAAGGGCCCAAAGGAAGGGAGACGAGAGCAATTCAAACAGTTGTGTTGATCTCACAATGCTTTACACACAGCTCCATATATGCTTAATCCCCTTCCCCCAGAGAGAATATTTGTAATATTTAAGTTATGAACAGAGATGATTATTCTAGATGTTTTCGACGAGTATTTAACGATGCAGCATCAAGAGGGCTTGTTGATGAAACTGCAAATATTTGAGATAAAAAAAAAAAGTGTCTTCTTGGCTCAAAGTGTTTTAAATGAATTGTAAATGGTCATTTTTTGTAGAACTCCAGTTTTTTTTAAAGTAGCTTTTTTGTGGTAAGTTTTTGGACTTAATGAAATAAGTTGTATATTATGCAATGTTTTTCTTTTTTAAAACATGTATGTGCCTTGCTTTAGTTCTTTTCATTTAGTCGTTCAGTGTGTAGAGGATATATGTGGCCGGTCTCTGCTTTGTCCATCAGATGTTCAGAACTATAGCCCTTTTTTTTGTTGTTGTGGTCTGCTCTGTGGACAGAGCGCAGATGTCTGGCATGGGAATGGCTTTTATTAAAGCTTTATCATGCCTATCGCTTCAAAGGACTGGGTGTTGACGGCCCATTCATCTCTTCTTGTGTATATAGCTGGATGTTTGTCACTGTGACTCTTCATCCTTTTTTTTAAAACTTGATTTGAAGTTCTCATTCTGTCATTTTCTGATCGTCATGTTTGCTTGTTTTTTTGCTTTCGTCTTTTTAAATACCAGACAGAAAAAAAATTCTGAAAACACTGAAGTCAAAACTATTGTTGGTGCAAGATGTTATTTAATAATAATAATAATGAAAGCTGTTTTCAATTCCATCCTATTTGCAGAGATGTTTAAAAAAAAGAAAATAAGAATCTGCACTGCTCAGTGTGTGCAGGCTGTATATTGTGTTGATGTTCTGCCATTGACTTGTATGATACCTGCTGTGACTGGCATTGGGAACAGTGGCGTGCTTGCAGTGACTGCATCAACAGCCACCTGCTCTAAATAAACATTATATACAAACACGCTCAGAGCCGTCCAGTTACTGAACAAGATCAGCTGGAAACCACTTAAAAGGGATGGTTCACCCAAAAACTGAAACTCACTCAATCATCCTTCACTGGTTCTGAACCGGTTGGAGTTTGTTGTGTTTTCTGTTGAACACAAAGGAAGATATTCTGAAAAATGTTGAAAACCTGTAACCATTTACTTCCATAGAGTATGAAAGTCATTGGGGACAGGTTTCAAACTTTTCTTTTCCCCAAAATATCTTTGCGTAACAGAAAAAGGAAACTCATAAAGGATTGGAACCACATGAAGGCGAGTAAATAAAGATGGTTTAAAGTTTTGGGTGACCTATCACTTTAAAACTCTAATGTTTGACATGTATAATACTGCACATTTCTCAAAACAACTAACTACTGATACCAAGACACTTTTTAGAGATTTATTTGATACAACTGAAAATGCATTAAGGACACTAGAGGGAGTCAACGCCACATTATGTCGGTTAGCGACGACTTATAAAATACTCAGTACGATAAAATCTGTCTTATACAATTAACTTTTCAGCTTGCGTTGCATTCTTGCATCCTCTCACAAGCTTCATGAGGGGAAATATGGGAACAATGCATCTGAAGTTTTTTTAAGTGTCCAGAATTGTCTTGATTATATATGGAGCTGGATTGAATAGCTCCATGCCACAAAAAGGCACTGTGAAATCCAAAGTAGCAGCTGTTTTTAATGCCTTTTGTCTTGGATCAGCATTAACTCATCTAGTATGCTTCACATTAAAGAGATAATTCAGCCAGAAATTAAAGTTCTGCCAAATTGTGCATGTTGTTCCAAACTTGTATGACTTGAGGCCAATCAATTGATTACGTTTTCCTCATATATTTATGATACAGCAGACCAATTTTCAAGTGAAGGAAACAAGCTTCAACAGATGACCATAATAAGACAACACACAGATTGAATAAAATCTAAAGTAGGGTGTGCTGTATAATGGAATTAAAAACGTATGTGTAAATAAACAACATTTTGCTGAAAATCTTATTCTCAGTGAGTGATCCATTGAAGGAATAGTTCATATTTAAAATTACTTATTTTATTCTCCCTCATGTGGTATTAAATCTTTATGAGTTTCTTTCTTCTGTTGAACAAAAAATAAGATATTTTGAAGAATTTTGGTTGCTGGCATCAACTTCCATAGTAAGAAAAAGAAAATACTATAGAAGTCAGTGAGGGTCAGCTACCAGAATGTTTCAAAATATCTTTTGTGTTCAACTGAAGCAACGAAACTCAAATAGGTTTTGAACAAGAAGTCAAGGGTGAGTAAATGATGGCTATCCTTCATTTAAAATTGCTGATTTGACTGAATGACTGTTTTTATTAATGAATCATCGACTCTAAATGTGTCAAATTATTTCTAAATTAAGAGTTTAGATGCAGAAGCCTCTAAATGCCATCTAAATTGTTCTTCTGAGCTCATTTTGCTCGGCCTCCTATGTTTACGCAATAAAAGTAAAATGACTGAACAGAAACATACGAGGCTGAGCAAAATGAGCTCATTTTAGAAGAATGATTTATGGCACTTAGACCAGGGTTCATACACAGTTTTACTACTAAAATTCCATCCAGGACTTTCAAGTAAATTTTCATGACCTATTGATTCATTTAATGTCTACATATATATGGTAAATAATAAGAAAAACAATGCACGTTCAAATTTATTACAGCTTATTCTAAAACACGCAACAATCCATTTTTATAAATTAGTTTTTATATCTCTGTAAACTTGATTTTGATAATGGTTACACAACACTAACAATGTGAGAGCATGTTTTTGGCCAAGGACAGAAAAGTAAAGACAACCAACCAATATTCAAGTTAGGGCACTGAAAAAATTAATCAATGATTCCTTGGATTTACTCAATTTTTTTACATTAAGTGGTTGTAAACAATTTATTTGGGCTGAATTTAAACAAACAAATCAAGTTCAACATTATTAAACTTAATTTGTTTGTTTAAATTTAACACAAATGAATTGTTTGCAACAGTTCTGCATGCAACACTTTTTTCAGTAGCGTTTCAGCATCGATATCGCAATGTGTGCATCCGCAATAGTCACATCGTAGGATAGGCAACGTTGGCATTATACAGAGTTTAATTATAATGGATTAAAAGTTTGTCATTTACAAGCATTTTTAAAGAGATCATTCACCCAAAAATGACTTACTACTTTAATTACACCCTTCGCTTGTTTCAAACATTCTTTTTTTAAATCAAACACAAACAGAAGTCCAATACCATTGAAACAAGTGAAGTGTCAGTAAGTAGTCAGTACATTTCTATCTTTTGAGTGAGGCAGGCATGTCCAAACTTGGTCCTGGAGGGCCGGTGTCCTGCAGAGTTTAGTTCCAACCCCAATCAGACACACCTGGGCTAGCTAATCAAGCTCTTACTAGGCTTTCTAAACATCTTTGCAGGTGTGCTGAGGCAAGTTGAAGCTAAAATCTGCAGGACACTGCCCCTCCAGGACCGAGTTTGGACACCTCTGCTGTAAGGCCTGTGACTGTGTGAACAGTTCAATATAATATAACAAATTTCCATGACTTTTCCAAGACTTTTTCAGGCCTGGAAAATGCCATGTCAAAATTCCCCGACTTATCCAGGTTTTCTATGACCGTATGAACCCTGTTAAAGGCTTTTGCATCAGTACTCTTTAAATAAAGCTCTGCACCAGCTTGACTGACTAAACAAGACTATTTTGTCTGAAATGAAACTTGTGTAAACTCAACAGCACACCTGTGCTCTTCTGCACATGCTGATATTTTGGAAACGCTCCTCTTGCTTGTTCTTTTTCAAAGGGAGTGAAAATGTCAGATCACATGTTGTCAAATAAACAACTGCTACATCATACACAACAACAAGTGTTTGTTTACGTCTGTTGGTGCCGTGTGAATTGGCCTTTATTTTCTCTGTGGAAAATAAAGTTATTAAAAAAAAAGAGAATAATATATCTTTCACTATATGAAAGATACTTTGAAATATGGTTTTCAATACTGCTGGTAAACAAATGGAAGCTCCAAATAACGTCTTTGATGTTCTACTTTACAAAACAAGTCATACAAATTTGAGGCAAGTAAAATAAATGGCAGAACTTTTGTCATTAAATGACAAATGATTTGTGGTTAACTGTGCCTTTAAGCTAAAAGAGAATATCAATCTCACATTAAACAGTGTTCCCTTCCACCCCAAGCACTCGTTATTTCTGGAAAGTTAAGCTGGGATGCTCAATGATGACGAATTAAGTGCTTTACACTCATCAAACTAATAAGAATAATTGTTATTTAGTTCAAAAAGATAGTAACTAGCACGGATAACATTGTAAAAGTCTTACTAGCTTTGCGTGGGCAAAATCTGGTTTCCATCGCAAACATGGAGGCAAGCATGAAGCAGTTGCGCCTTTGGTAAGGAAACGTTGCATTATTTACACGAAAGCATGATGGATGAGACGATCATTACAAAGGTTTCACATCGGTCAACAGGTGGTTAGAAAATATCTGAGCAGTTCAGTTGGCACTGTCAAATCCAAGATTAAAAACAAGGGCACTGTGTTGTCCAAAACAATGCTCTGCTGTTTCAGGCCCAAGTTGGTTTAGTGTAGGTCTCCATTCAGCCCAGGGACGATAGGAACTCCAAGCATCTCCCTGGGAACCAGGCTGAAGTTTAGGCACTCACTCAGTCGTTAGACTGTGACTCAAAACGGTCAAAGTTCAATAGTCATCACAGCAACGTTTCCCAGGTCTGCAGGAAACATGACCTTCAACTGAATTCGTTTGTAGAGTTCAAGTCTTACCAAATCTAAAATCATACTTTTCTAGGAAATAAATCTTATGTATATAAAATACAGTGTTGTCTGGAGTTTATAGAGACTGCAGGTTAGGACGTCCTGTGGCATGTTAAAGCAAACAAATCCTTCATTCTTCACATAAGCCCAGACGTTTTTAACACTTTACAAATCTGAACAGGGCAGATGTCCGAGTCCAGAGAGTAGAGAACATGAATATTTCCTGTCCAATGTACTGTAATGTTTGTTTGAATATTCTTTCTCGTAGACACAGATTCATCATGATTCTGAGTTGTGAGAGATTTGTGAGATTAATCAACCCGTTGACGCAACTAATAGTGATTAACGGTCACGTTTAGCACGTCCACACCTGAGGAGAGGAAACAGAACACATTGTTTTAGAGCTTGCATACAATGAAAAATCTCATGCCAACTGAAAACAATTCAAAAAATGAGGTAAGCAGGGTTGCTCTTTACAATAAGCAATGTCAAACTTTCAGCAAAATCATCAATTAGCCAAGTCAGAGCCAATTGCAACATGTTGGTTTCACAAATGACTAGACGTAATGACAAATTCTCATGTAGAGCAATGGGGGAAATAAGAAACTATTTGTACATTCTACGTTTCTTGAAATTTAGTTTTTACCTTTTCTTAATTCAGTAAACTATTGATTGAACTACTTTACTAAAAGAACTACTAGCAGATATATTTGCATTACACTGAACTGAAGTAGTTTTATTAACTTGAACTTTATCTATGTTATGCTGCTTTGACATAATCTGTAATACATATGTAATATCTATAAGTTATATAGAAATAAAGATGAATTGAATGACATGTTTTACAAATAAAACAGAAAAAAAAAATTAGCGCATAAAATAAAAAAGGTGAATGAAACTAATATTTGGTGGAATGACCCTGATTTTCATACCCAAATGAAAATATAAATTTTTCTGACTAAATTGTAATTTTCTTGAAAAAAATATTATTGAAATTTGGAGTTGGAAATGGAGGTATGTTAACACCTTTTATTTAAACCCATACCTAATAAATCCAGCAAATTTGGAGAAACCGAGAAGGTCCCAACACTAAATTTAAAGTGTTTTAATCATATAAATGCAGCTTCAATGGTCATATATACACCGTTTACCATGGAGTTAGTTTTGTTGCTTTGTTATTCAATCGAAAATATTTAGTTTGAGGGAAAAAGCAAATAGTAAATAAAAAAAAGATTATAAATAGAAATGATGTCAATGAAATAAAATGTTTTGAATTGCAAAAAATAAACTTATGCAGTTACCACAATTTTCATTGCACAGTCATTTTGCTCTCTGTTCGGCTGTCATTTATTGCACTTCTAGAATCTGTGGTTGTGAGTTGAAAAGTTGGCATACATGCATACCCATGTATGTTGGAGTTAATTGTATGGCTTTATTATTCAAACAAAGATGTTAATTAAGATCAAAATTAGGTACATTGTTATAAAATTTTTCAAAAAAATAAAATAAAATACATTTAATCCCCCCAAAAAAAGTGTTATTTATAAAAAAATAAAATTTGCATTGCAAAAATAAAGTATTGCCATTTTATGAAGTTACCACCACATTGTGCATTCAATCATTTTGCTTTCTGTTCAATAATTTTTATGCAGATCTAAAATCTTTGCTTGCGAGTTGAAAAGGTTTGAAGGCTGCAGCTCAGTGGGTGGTATCTTCTCTCTGGCATGAAAGGCCTTTTTTTCTATTGGTCAGTTTTGATTGAAGTCCCAGTTTTGTCAAATGATCCTATATGTGTTTGCACGATTTTTATAATAAATTTTCCCTAAAATGAAATTTTTTGATTGAATAATAAAGAGACAAAACTAACTACACAGTTTACCACATACACGTGAAAGCAGAACATGGTAAACAACACACAAAGAAGCAGCTTTCTTAGCTCTGATAATCACAAAACTTTGGCAAACAATGTGTGTTTGTGTAAGAATCAGCACCGGACAGGGAACATTGTTCTTATTGCGTTTTTTTTTTTTTTGCTTTTGATCCAAAATTATAATATCACTACAGTAGAACCCTTATGCTCTGCTCAAATGTACTACCCTTTTGTTTTGTTCAGGATGAAAACATCCACTAAATTAAACTGCTTTAAAAATGCATCAGATGCATTTTTTTTTACTTTTAGTTTTGCATAAATCTGTTAATTAAACTCAGTCCTGATCAAAACAACAAAGTTTTTAAAAATTACAGGATTTTAACTCTTTATTTGCCAAGTTCACAAATTATGTCAAAGATCTGCTAAAGAAAAAAAAAACACACACACCATGACGTATTTTCAATATAAAAAGTAATTATGGACTGGATTTTGTTTTACCTTTTATCACAGTCTTGGGCACAATTACAGTAACAACTAATCTTTGCTTTGATGCAAGACTTGAAGTTAGATGTTCATTTTTTCTCCCAAATTTACATTTGGAGGCTGTTTTTGCCCCATTGACTTCCATTATAACCACATTTGATGGTCTTTTTTTTGTGTACTCCATGTAGTTCTGAGAGATGAGATGCATATTTTGACTTTCTCAGAGACATCAAAGTATGTGCACAAAAGTCACTCTCACAGAAACTAAGCTTTTTCTTTGCACAGGATTCTCGAAATGGTTAATGGTGCCGACTGATGATCAACAGTAAAAAATTACAAAATTTACCTCTTTCCAACATGGAAAACCACCAACAATCAAAAATGCATGATTGTATGTCATCAACAAATGTGGTTATAATGGAAGGGGCAAAAACAGCCAACAGTAAATTAGTGAGAAAGCAAATGAAAATCAATCAAAAACAATACATCAAAGGCAATGATGTTTCACATGGTCAAGACTTTAATAAAAGGTTAAAAAAACAAAAACGTAATTTTGTGTGATTTTATTTTAAACAAATCAGTGACATTATTTGTGAATTTGGAAATTAAGGAGTTATAATCCTGTAATTTTCAAAGTAACTTTGTATTTTTGATCAGGACTGAGGTTTATTAACAGATTTTTGCAAAGAAATATGAAATAAATATTTGACACATTTTTACAGCAGTTAAATTTAATGGATGTTTTCATCCCAAACACAACAAAAGGGTAGTAAGTTTAAACAGTGTGTATTGTTGAGGTTTTTTCAAAGTGCTTTCTAAAAATAAGATTTGTCAACAAAAATCATTCTGCTAGTTGAAACAAAAAATTTTTTTTGGCCAAATTAAGACTCATAATCACCCCAGAATGGATGAAAACATCCCCAACAGCACGTAAGGGTTAAATCTCACCTAAACTAGTGCATTTTAAAAGCATGACCAGTAATGTTCAAAGACTACAGTCAGTCAGCTAAGCAGGGCTTTTTGTGGGTGTTTGAACACATTTGTTCTCAAAAGCAATCTAGTCAAATGTGTTTTTGACTGTCTCTCGAAGAGATCAAAATTTGACAAGTTCAGACCCTCTTTACATCTGAATTTAGTGTCTTGTGATCGATCAATTGCAACCTTTTGAAAGCAGAAAACTGGACCCCAAACTGAAGGTAAGTCTCTGACCTTTACTGTGCTGTCTACTGCTCCGGAGAACAGTCTTCCCCTGGACACAGCGAGGGCTGTGACACTGCCCTGGTGCCGCAGCAGAGTCTGAGTGCAGATCATGTTGTCCATACTCCACACCTGCACAGGGAAAAACAATCAATGCAACACAAATCGCCTTTATTTCACATCTCAAAGCCAAAGACTTGAGTGAACGTACCCTAAGAGAGCGGTCATAGGAGGCACTGAACACTTTGGTCTGATCGGGTGTGGAGATGACAGCAAGGGCATACACTGTGCCCACATGGCCTGTCAGTGTCCTAACCTGCTCCTTGGACTCAATGTCCCAAACCTAGTTCATAGAGAAAATACAATTTTAAAAAACAGATCAGAACATTTCCAGGATTTTCCACGACCATTACACCTTCATATGCAGGAACAGACAAGAATAGTACTAACATGAATGAGGTTTTCATAGGTGCCACAAACTATATGGTGGTTGGTGACTGCAATGGAGTACACACTGCCTCCAGAGGTCTGGAGCACATGGACACACTCCAAAGAACGGATGTCCCAGATCTGAGGGGGTAAAAAAAGAAAAAAAGTGTAAATATATATATATATATATATATATATATATATATATATATTTCACGCTCACTAGATAGGATGCACATTTCCACCTAATAGTAATGTGTTAAGAGAGCAAAGTCATTAAATGCTGATTATTTACAAACACTTGAATGAATAAACATTAGATGGCTTATTATAGAGGGGGAAAACAAATGAAGGAAAAGGCTGTGGGATGGCAACAACAATTTTGTTATCATTGTGCTTTGGAACAAGTATGAATATCATGTTGCCCAGCCATCATCTAACCTACACTACCTAGACCTGGATTTTTGTTTAAATCAAATGTTTACCTGCTTTCTTTTCCCTACGAAAACAGCAAATAAGAAATGTAATTTGGGAATCAAGACGGACGAGTAACAGTTGGTCTCTGTTGCTCTTGATAGCGATGGTAGAACGGTGTTCTGTCTTTCTCCCTCTGCGAGTCTGTTTTCTGTTTGCAGTCTCTGGAGACTTAATTAGACAACTTGAGACAGCGAGCAGCTTGGGTTTATCCATCTTGTCACATTTTACAAACAACTCAGAGAGCTGCTCTCTTCTTTACTAGTTAGACTGAAAACTAAAATAAAAATCTAAAGTATCTTCAAGTCTGGAACTCCAATGTTCCAGTTAGATTCATGAAAAAAGCTGACCTAAATTTAACATACAAAAAATATCTGCATATATTCCTTTATACCAACTATCAATTTACACAAAAGAACCTGTCCAAAAGATTTCAAAATCTTATTTTGCATAAAATATACAAAATGAGTTTGTTTATATTTGTTTTTTTCTAAATTAGTTAATTTCAGTTCAGTTCAATAAGTAGCTAAACAAGGCTAAATGCTAAGTTTTTTTTCTAATGGCCCAGTTAAAAGATTTAAATAACATGGGCTTGAAATTAACACCCGCTAACCTGTCAAATGCGTGTAGATTTCAGCGGTGGCAGGTTAGAGAGCCATTCCCACTAGCCACTTTGGCTGGTTAAAAATCATTTTAAATTGTAGTTTATCGAGAACGACTGGAAAAATAACTGTTTGCGTGAGCAAAAGAAAGCAGGTGAATTTCGAATAAGAGGATAATCACACGCACAGTGAGACGCAGGCTTTCTTCACTTACTGAAGAGGGCTTTAGTAACGCGTGCATGGCTAGTGTGATGTGCACAAGAGTTTAACAAGAGTGCGCGCTCCTTTTTCCTTGTGTGCAGTAAAAGTGCCTGCAAATGCAACTTGTGCAATTGGTTCTCTTTGAAATAGACTCGACAAAAATAAATAAATCACTGTCCTGCTGTTTTTAAGAGCTTCAGGTTCTTTTTTAAAATGTTTAAAAAGCAGCAGCAGTTGCCGATTTCCTTATTTTACCAAACTTTGAACAGATTATTATTGGGCCTAATGTTTACTTTGCGCATGTGATCATCCTTTCATTATCGCACACAGTGTTTTTTGTATGCTTTCTTTTGCTTACAGTTATTTTTTTTTATACATGGTTTAATTATCATCCTTTACAATAACTGCTTTACTAGAAGATTAACTTCTCATTTATGTATAGTTAACTGGTGGTCTGGGACCTTTAGCCTGGACAAACTACTGTGCATAGTTTTAGATACATGACAATAGTTATTTTTAAAATTATATTTTCTTAAAGAAAGGCTATGTTAAATAAAAAGTGGATGTTTATTTATTTTGTTTTAATAATTTTTTAAAATTATTTAAAATGTGTAGCTAAGGAATAGTTAGGTATTTGTTTATTTATTTTTGGGGTGACCAGAGAAGGTAAATCCTTAATGCTGAGTTCTGAAAAATCATTTGAAATTAGAACTAATTCCAATGCAACATCATTAAACCAAAAACTATTTGCTGATGCTCATTGAGCAATGTCATACACAACAATCAAAAAGTGAAATGAATGAGAAGGGGACATAACACAAAACCTAAATAAAGTAATTTTAGCATGCCAAAGTCAAATTTATTCATATAAAATATATTTTCCCAACAACCAAATTGTGACTAGTGATCAAAAAAGTTAAACAACATTAAAAAGTACATTAATAAATAATCTTTTGTTAAAACTTTTATTGCGGATGAACGTTAAAAATTTGCTGGGTGTTAGCCCGATTGGGTAGCTTTACATGGACAATTAAGACCTGTTTAAAATTATTTAGGTATTCATTTTATGAGTTAAAGGTAATTATTCTTTTATATTCCAACAAAATTAAGACTTTCAGGCCTAAATAAAATTTTGTATATTTATGATGCTGCAGATACCCCGAGTAGATTTCTCATTTTAAAGGTTTAATTAAATGATATAAATAAAAATCACACTTTAACTAATAAAACCTGAATAATTTATACACATTAACAACGGCAGTGACCTTTATTAAGTCGTGATTAATTGATTAATTGATTTGTTTATTTAAAGAAAGTCTGCTTTGCCCGTTTTTTTTTTTTTTCTGGAGTTTGTATTTTTTACGAATTAATGAAAATAAATTATTACAGGCATAAAATTCAATTTACTTGATCGTTTAAAAATAAGGGATATGTAAACTCATTTTCAAGACTGTATGTGAAAACAACCTAATTACCCAATAACCAGCATACAGTCCTTTATGATGAAATCTTGGAGATCCTGAAGCAACTGAAAGGGTTGTTTTGTATTCAAACCGTTCAAAGTTTAACACTCCTAACCTTTATGGTTTGATAAGATCCACTGTAAAGATGATTCTGAGAAGCAACCAAAGCTCGAACCCAGTGATTTAAACCAGTCAGCTCCTTCTTTAGCTTCAGCTCTGTGCCAACAATATCCCACACCTACAGAGACAGAGAGAGATGTTCAAGCACACTGTGAATTGGTAATCTGGAAATTCCCTGAGAGATGAGCTCATTCTGCAGTTGAGCCTCCACTCCCTCAATCCTCCCACACATAACCATGGTGATACAAGCACAGCGTGAGCTCTTCAGACGCTCTCGCATAGCCAAGAGCATCTCATTCTGCTAAAACTCTGTGCTTCTCCGTTCTCTGCTGGAGATCGGATCCAATCCTCTTCAGCATTTTAGGGAAAACATTGTGCGATTGTTAAAGAATCATCTAATATTAATAATCTAAACTATCAGTGGTTGTTTCGGGTAACTGCAATTGTTGCAATCCCTATAGAATGCACATAAACCAAAATATGTAGACATTGATCTGAACGCTAATGCAATTTTAGTTTTACTTTCAAATTCACAACACTTTGCAGGGTGTTGAGTGCATTGCATTGATGGACACCCCATGGAAAGTTGGATACATACCCTTGGTAGCTTAAGCAGAATAGAGCAGCGTATTGGTCATTTGCAGGTTAAATTTGCATTGACAAGTTAATGAGACTGTTCACTCAAAAATTAACCATCTGTTTCTTCTGTTGAACTTATTTATTCCGAAGAATGCTGGTTGATCATTATGGGTGTCAAAATTAATTGCTTCTTTGATGCACTGCGATGCAGATGTTAACGATTCTGTATTGGTTTATTAATAGATCACCACCGGTTATTATGTACTGAAAACATTTATTTCATAAGCGCTATGTGGCAGTAGAAAACTATTCTAAAAAGGCAAAAGTGAGTAACTTAAATGCTTCAACTACTTAAAAGGCAAACAACTGTGCACAATTCACTTTTTTCTACAGGTATATATATATATATATATATATATATATATATATATATATATATATATATATATATATATATATATATATATATATATATATATAAAAAATTCTTGAATTAGCTAGTTATATGAAAAGCATATTTCCAAAATATACAATTATTGTCTGTAACTGCAATTACTTCTTAGACAATTAATTGTCAGCCAAATTTCACACAAAAGAGGTTTATAGAGCCAACATGCACATCACCAAATGGGGCAGAATGAAGCTTGACATTAGCTGCTTGATTGGGCATGTGTTTGCAGACGCGCACATCATCTCTACAACAGACGATACTGACCTTAATGGCTTTGAGAGAGCCGCTGAAGAGCATGTTGTGTGAGGACACTAGAGTGCACACAGGGTTATCGTGTGCCCGGATGGTGTTCACTTTCTGAAGGGTCTGGATATCCCAAACCTGAGGAAGAGCAAGTGAATGTGTATTAGTTACTGTCCGAATCAGTAGTTTGATTCCTCTTTTAAATGCACTTCAGGGACACTCACAATGATTGTACAATCAGCTGAGCCACTATACAGCTTGTTCCTGCAGAAACAAAAAAAAATGTGCAAGAATTTGTAAGTTCCCTTGTCCATTTAAAGACAACATGAACATGACATTTGCAACCGTTTTTACTTTGTTAAATTCTTTTTAAATATTGTATATTTTTATTAGAGCTGTAACCAGAGCCTAAAACTACACTTCATAATTGTTTTTTCAGTGCTTTCAAAATAAAAGCATACAGCTTTTTGTTTGGTGCTTTTTAAAATGCACAAAATGGATGTGACTGTGTGTCATTCGTAAAACATGGTTATGTCCACATAAAAATCAGTGCAGTGCATCAGATTACATATTTATATGATTATTTTAATTTGTAAAGCTGGTTCGGAACAATAGTCATTTTTCTTAAAGGCCAAATTGTGCATAACACTTGTTAACATTTCATATACTTCTTATACTTGTCAACCTCAATGTTTATTTTGAACTTGATGACTGTTAATTTAGGCCATTACCTATAATACACTGATTTGACTTTTTCAGTAGAACTCAGGCTTCAATGTAAGAATGAAACACATCTCTCACTAACAATCTGCACTGATGAATCAGACCCAGTAAAAAATAAATAAATAAATAAATAAAAAAAAAACTTTTCTACGGATATTTGTCCATAATTAACATCTGATAAACGTTTTTAAAACTAAACTGCTAATAGACATGTCGTATTCCAAGTAGGTCTGACCTGCACAGCCATAGAATACACAACCTCTGACCTACACAAGTTTTTGCTTAATTGACCGCCATGCAGATGTTCATTTATAGCCCAGGAAGCCAAATTTATACATTTCGTGAATTGGGAATACACAACTTTAATTTATAACACTAAAACACTTTGAAATTTTAAAGATAACAGTAAATATAAAATAGCAATGAAATGGAGAGAAACAAAGCTATGAAATTGTTAAAATGCAAAAGCACTTTGTGAATGCACCCGATGAACATTCGTTAAAGACTTTCAGCTATACGGATTGTCATTTAAAGGCTAGATCAACTAGTCCCTCCAGCAGATCCAAAGTAATCTTTTGGCAAAACTGTCAGCCTGCTCCTCCATATTATGCTATTATGAATATTATTGTGCAATAGGTCTGCGCGATTTGGGCAAGATATTTAATTGCAATTTTTTGACAGATATTGTGATTTTCATTTAATTTTGTAGTCAAGCTTCAGCTCAATAATCTGTAAGCCGTGGCAACAATTCTTCGACAACTTTTAAAAATGACCTATTTTTGTTCGGTGTCTGTGACTTAGAAACCAAAATATTCCCATATTACCAATGCTGTTTATCTTTTTTGATTGTAATTTGTCTATTAATGCTTCTGAAGCAGCAGACGCCATTATCCCACTTGCTCACGCTTTCCTGTTGTTTTTTTTTTGTGGATGTTCGGTTGCACAATTCTGACTAGGCAAAACAAAAGTGTGCTCACTCAGTTAGCTAGTAAGACTGTCACACACAAACAGCAGTCACACATTTGCTCTGGGTGGGAGAAAAGAAATACATAGATATTTCATATTGCAGCCTCTTGCGATTTACTAATCGTAACGTTTCAAGTTGCGATTTGATTTTGATTTATCAAACAGCCCAATTGTACAATAACCATAATTAGAATGTTTCTCAATTTAGTAAACTGTAAATAACAGTATGGAAACGAAAATGAAATGCTTTGATTTAATTTTCCATACTTCTTTCGGACCTGCAAGTGTCTCAAATCAAACGCAAAGGAACTCACTAAAGTCTTAATTTAAAAAGCTTACCCCTGAATGCACAATGCCAACACTATGCCATCATGGCCTTCGAGAGTCTTCTGGCATTTGTATGTGGTGCACGTGTCCCAAACCTGCGTAGAGCACAGATGTACAGATGATTTATCTGTAAAAAGAAGGTTACACACCAACCAAAGACAGCAGGTGAAATTACCTTGATGGATTTGTCTGATGACCCACTAAAAAGTAGATCGCCTGTCGAATAAACACACAGGCACCACACCGGACCCTGATGGCCCACAAAAGTACCCTTACATTTGAAGATCTGCTGGGGGTCGTAGGCTGCAAAACAATTCATAAGAGTCAGACGATTAGGGTTCCTGCTCTAAACCCAATGTCAAATTCCCTGACTTTCACTGACTAAAAAGCACATATAAATAGAAAAACAGGCCGCAGTCATGCTTGGTAGTGCCTCCAGAATTGTGTTGTTCTGCGATTGCTGAATTGAAGGCAAAATCAAGCAAATAAAGCAAAATTTAGAGCTGCCTGCAATTTTATTTTTTTTTTTATTTATGCAGATTTCCACACCATCTGCATTGTTTTTTATTGAATAACACTCTTTTCATGCATGGAAAGTGCTCATGTGCTGTGTGATACCTTAAGCTGTCAACAGTGGTTCATGAGGTTAAAATAAGGTGTAAAAAATAAAAATGTTCAAATTTGAACAGCTTTTTACAGCAAAACAACACAAAAAAGGGTGTAAATACTGCCGCAAATTGAGAAAAGTCAAAGCAATATCAGCAATTTTAGGCTGCAAAAATCAGATTTTTTTTTTACACAAAATTCAAGAGGGACGCGTTCAGCACTGAGTAGACAAACAAAAAAACACCCACTGACAGTATTTTAACAGCTACAGCCTGGTGATTGCATTTGTTGCCTGCCAAGGGGGGAGGACTAAAATGACAGTGAAAAGTAGCCTAACCTTAACACAAGGTAGAAACACATTATTAAAAAAAAAAAAAATTTTGCTAAACAAGATGCAAACTTCAAGACAATCAAAAAAATCCCTGCTATTTCCTGACTTGGAAAAAACAAACATAAAATTCCCTGACTAAAATGGCCCTTTTTTAAAGTCCATGGCCCGAGGGAACCCTGTTCAACATATTCACAGAAACTGAGAATAAAAAGGAGAAAATGAGGACACTTACAGCCCAGTATGCCCATATTGAGCCTGGCATTGATGTGAGACAGTTCATCCTGCAAAAGGAGAGAAGTGTTAGAAAGCTAATACAAAGCAGCTGTACATCTTATTTTGCTAAAACCCAGATCGAAAATAGACCTACGTTTAGCATGGAAGCATCTCGCCTGAACTCCATCAGATCTTCACTGAGCTTGCTCTGATTCTCATCCAGCACATCTGCCACATTAGCACAAAAAAGACCAGCAAATTGAACACTAATGCACATTTTGGCTTACAAACAACAAGCGGCTAAGAGTTAGCTCCATGTCCTCACCGAACTTGAGTTCCAAGTTTTTCTCCAGCTGGTCCAGCTTCTCTGAGAGTTTACCAAGCATTGAGCGCAGGAACGAAATGTCCTGGTCCTTCTGCGCCAGTGTCACCTGCATCTCATGGAATCTGTCATCCGTCTGCTGGAGAAACTCCTTTAGTCCCTCAAACTTACAAACCTCCAGGTGAGTCTCGTATGTGTCCTGATTCCCGATGAAGGTGCAACTGGAAGAAAAATCCAGCGTAGGTGAATTTGAGGTTGCTTTATATTTTGTATTTGGTTTCATATGTATGGTAGCAATCAATAGGAGCTTTTCTAAATATGCATACCCATATTTAGAATGAGGGCACTTGATGTGTTCACATTCTTTCAGATGGGCCTCTAAGTTCATAGTGAGCAATGGAGGGCAGTTGGGGTTGTTGGGACAGCGAACGGGTCTGTAGTCACAGCTTACTTCATGATCTCTGTCAAACACATTCCAGAGTTATTACACTCCCTTTCACTGACTCACGCGGATGTTGCAATCAAACGCCGCTATTGCAAAAGCCAGTGAACCTGTGTACTCACTTTCTGGTGCTGAGCTTGATGGTAAAAGGACAGCCAAGTGGGTCAACCTCATAGGCACCAGACTTGCCCGAGGCAGCTGGACGACAGCCGTACTTGCAGTGGATGAAAAGCTCTCCGATTTGCTCAGCCACAGCTATGTTATTCACTACCACTGTGAGCTTCGAATTGTCCACCGGGCATTTCTCTGTAGAAGCATAGGATATTGGGGAGAAAATAAAGGAAAGACTAATGTTATATTGATAACATGACTCAAACTAACAGCATGAAAAGAAGCATTCAGAATGGACAGGAAATGAAAGAGGAACAGAGATAGAAACCTGCAATTAGCCACTCCTGTCAGTGACAGCACTTTTTGAAACCACAAATAGTCAAATGTGTGTCTGAACATATTCAGATCCTATCTTCTTATTCATGTTTTTTTGTTGTAGCTTGAAATCATTACAAGCATTGTTAAATAAAAAAAAAGATAAATATACATAATAATTCACACACACACATATATGTATATAAATATATATTAGTGGTGTAACTGATCTCAGATCTTTTGGTTCGTATCATACAATGGTTTTTGAGTCACTGATTGGACCATTTTTCAGATCAGCAAAAAAAGGAGATGACAAATGTCAATTGTTTTCCATGCATTAATTTATATAGAAATATTATGGAAAAAACTATTGGTTTTAGCAAACATAACTTAAAACCTGTCATTTTAATAAAAATAAAAATAAAGAAAGAACCAGCTGGAAAAAAATATATATATATTCAATACGAAAAATGACCGTTGCTACTGTTGCTGATATTAATAAATATAGAAATTCAACATCTTGTACAACAGATCATGTTTATTTTCAATAAATGATTCAACAATTCACACATAAAAATTTATGTTTCATTATGGGTGGAGCATTGTTGAAAACCTATTGAATTACATAATATTGATGTTTTTTTTGTCGCCACCCATTGGATACACAATGTAAGTGCTACAACATTCTCCAGCGTCAAGTTCTATTAAGCAGGGATTTTAATCTTTACCATAAACAGTGTTCATATCTGAGCTGTAAACTGTTATTCCAGGACTTGAGTGATTTAATTGTTTGTAACTAAAGTGTAAAAACTGAATCTCTCTTGATCAAATGCAGATTTGAATGCAGCGCTTTCGAGGGATTGAAAAGCATATGCAAATCATTATTAGTTTTCATTCATGTTGTGTGGGTTTGAATTGAGACCTTGATCTTTTAATATTTATGTGTAGCTTTACACTGAATGCATTCATGCAAGCTAAACAAACAAACAAACACCTTTAATTATTAACCTAAGTATGCAATTAGGTTAGTCCCACAACTAACTTTTCCGTCATCATTGTATTTTGTAGGGAAGCCAAAATGCTTAGATGCACGTGATTTGAATGACGCGAAAGGCGATATCTCTGCAATTGTTATAAATGTTGGATTAACTATTATTAGGGATGTAACGGTATTGTAAATATCATCATACCGCAATAGCAATTTTTTTCGATATTACCGTAGTTGCATGACTCGATAAAACTATAGGTCTTCTGAGAAAATTTGCTCAGGCGAATGAAGCGAACAGGAGGTAGCGGAAACTACAATTCCCATCAGCCCAGGCATGGCCATCATCCTTTGCGGTCTGTTGTCGCTACAGATCCAGTAATGCGGAAATGGAGTGTGCTGCTAGTAGCGGGGATGAAAAAGAGCTGGAAATGATCGAACCTAAAGCGGGTTTTAAATCGGATGTGTGGAAGCATTTCGGTTTCTCTCTCGGTATGCAGGCACTGCCAGACTGTGGTGAAATACAAGTTGGGGAATAAAACTAAAAACAGTCATGGGGACTGCAGAAACACAGCACACTGTTCAGATTGATGCAGACATTGACTTGTACCGCAAAGAGACCTCTATCTCACTCATGGCTTGTCCTCTCAAGTGGGGGAAAGACAATGCACAACGTTACCCACTGCTGTCAACCTGGGCCAAGTCATATCTCTGTCCCAGAAACCTCAGTCCCAAATGAGAAGGTTTTTTTCTGTTGCAGGGGACATTGTAAAAGCCCAGAGATACCAGCTTTTACCAGATTATATTTATATGATAATTTTCCTTAAAACCCATCTCTATCTAAAGAAAGTGAGTGAGTGATTAAATGTTGAATGTGATGAGTTTTCAACAAAACTAAATTAAAACTTGATTTTATTTACATGGTTTAATATTTTTTTGTTATTAAAATTGAAAAATTGAAGTTCCTGTTTCAAAGCTTACAGGTAGATGGCTAATTTGTATGTCATTGACACTTTTGGCACTTTTTTGGAGTATTTTCATTAGTTTTGTTTTTCCTGTAAATGATTCAATAAATACTGTACCCTGCCATTCATACCGAGGTATTACCGTAGCGTGAAATTCTGATACCGTTACATCCCTACCTATTTTATATATATATATATATATATATATATATATATATATATATATATATATATATATATATATATATATATATATATATATATATATATATATATATATATATATATATATATATATATATATATATATATATATATATATATATATATATATATATATATATATATATATATATGAAATTTACATTAGTTTTTTCCTTTTTTTTATTTAAATAGTCAAAAAACATACATTCATTAAACAACATGACTAACAACACATCATAAATATAAACAGTGTTTAACATTGTGTACATATAAACACATAAAAGACCAAAAAAAGGGAAGACAACATCAGTACAATACATTTACATTAGATTTTATATTCAATAATTCTTTAAAATAGTAATAGTCTTAACTAATGTTAACAAGGAAAACTTTAGATTTAAATAATGCATTAGATGAACAGAGGATTAATAAAATGCTAAGAATAATAACACAAATTATTGTTCATTCTTACTTCATGGTAGTATTTACATTATCATTATGTATAAAACCTTATTGTGAATGAATTACTCAGCTCTTTAAGTTGCTCAATATATTACATATTGCATAATATACATTACTATAACAACTGATCATTCAAGATTTTAAACCTAAGTTGTGAAATTTTGTGTTGCTTTATACAGTATGTGCATATCCATTCCTTACAACCGTTTTTACTGCTTTTATATACACACTATACATCTATATATACACACAATATCATTTCTAACCTATCTAAGGTCCACACAGTTACTGGTCAACTGACTGATAATTCAACCAATATCTGACTAAATTGTGCTGAGCCCTGTCTGCACTTCCTCCCTTCTGGCAGAAACTGTGGGAAAGGTGAAAGAAAGAAAAATGCTGGGATTAAAAATGCTATGCTTACCTGAGGTCAAGGCACATCGCCTGCAGAATGTGTGCTGAAGTGACAGAGGAAGAGAAACAAGCACAGTGAGAGTCAACAAGAGCGTTATTGTACGTTTTCATCCAGTCAGCTATTTTAAGTGCAAACCATCTCTCAACAAACACTTGTTCAACAGCCTGATGTTGCAGTAGGAAACGGGTCAATGAGGCGTGCTGTTCACGGCCCAAGCTGACAGGAAATCAATACATGACCTGGAACCAGATCATGACAGACAGCCCTATCCTAAGGGAGAGAGGTGAGGGGAAAAATGGCTGACTCACTCCACAGGTGGTGATGACCGGGTCCTTGAACACACTGCAGCACAGCTGGCAACAAAGCTTTACTGAGGGCTGCTCCGCAAACACCTGCGGCTCCTGGGTAGGAAAAGAGAGGGAAAGCGAGAGACACAGGGAGTCAAATCTCCTGCTGAGGACAGGTGTATGTCTGTCAGCATTTGCGTCACGGTGCTGCATCAACATGTGAAGAGGAAACAGAAGATTGCTGACACTCACCGTGTCTTCCTCTTCCTCGTGCAAGGAGAAGGTGGAGCGTAGTGACATGTTGGATTCAGAATGCAGCGAACGAACGGAGATGGCAGAGTCTGAGCGGCGAGGGGTACTGATGGGTGGCTGTAGGGAGAGAGACTGTTTATTTGTACTATTTGTAATATTTTAAATATATTTAATGCAGTGCTTCCCACAGGTTTGAAATATACTTGTGGTGGTAACCGAATTAAAAACACCTTTTACCCACAGCACATAAATAGTTAACTATATGCGACAAACAAAACATAATTTGGTTTTGAACACTATTTTTATTATTATCTGATATAGACCTTTTCTTTTCAATGGGTTAATGTAAAAAAAAAATTAAAAAAAAAAGAAATTTGAAAAAGTCCACTTTTTCTCTTTTATGCTATTCAGAAGCCATGTGCACCCACTGACAGGTAAAATCTGCTTCTATCTCTTATTCAGGTTGATATTACATATTGTAAAGTATTCTCAATTATTTTAGATGTATAAAACATGTAAATTGACATCATAAAATTAATAAAATAATCAGCAAATGATAAATAAATGACAGAAGGAATAAAAACAGTCAAGATCTCTAAAAATTATAATAATTACAAGAATAAAAGGTGTAGATTATTTAAATAAGACAAATGAGTTGATTTCCCATTTCTAATGATGTACAAATATTCCGCAGCCAATTTAGTATTCAGTAAAGTTTTTCTGAGTCGTTTAGATTAAAGAATTAATTATTTAATGTCGCTTACGCAGCTGTGCGCATAAAATTAACAACAGCTAAGAAAACGAAAGCAATACCAAATCATGGACATTTTAGTAGATTTAAAAACCCCGGCCAGGCGCAAAAAGGTGCAGGTCTCTGTGGGTCTGCAGATTGTCTGTCTTGCGCACACAGAATGAGTAGTATGAAACGGGTAAAGGAGAGAAAATTCCACAACTTAATTGTTTGTGAATGTTTGTTTATATTGGGTGGATACAAAAAAGTGTAAAAGAACGACAATAATAGTAAAAAAACAAAAAGATAAATTAAGTGTCAGTAAATATACATGGGTGACCCCAGGTATAAGTCAAAATGATTAACCCTCCTGTATAACTAATAACTACTTTCTTTTGTATTTGCCATGCTGGCAGAACATAATATTTTTTCTAGTTATTTTGCAAGATACAAGTATTGAGCTTAAAGTGCAATTAAAAGGCTTAACTAAATTAATTAGGTTAACTAGGCACATTCGGTTAATTAGGCAAGTCCTTGGACAACAGTAGTTCATTCTGTGGACAAATAATAATTTGAATTCTAATATTGACTTATATTTTTAAACCAACTTAAAAACTGTTTTTATATTCCAGCCATATTCCATTCTATTTTTTATTCCAGCCAAACTGAAACTAATTCTAGAATTTTTTTTTTTTATATTCTAGAAAATACTGTGAAAATTTCCCTCCTCGGTTAAACATCACTTGAGAAAAACTTTTTAAAAGAAAAAAAATTCACGGGATAGCTAACAATTTTGCCTTCAGCTATGTTTTATACATTTTTAAATAGCGGTCATGTGTGGACATACACTATAACTGTAAGTGTTTAAAGCCCAGGGCATGCATATTAATTCAGATTGCAACATAACAGTCTATTTTTTGCCCTGATTGGCATTTTTTCCCACTCATGGGAGTTACCTGAGAACAAGGAAGCATTGGTGTTTGAGGCTGAAAGTATGTCATTTCTATGTACTGAACTGTTATTATTCTGTTAAGTATATCCAGATTTTCATTATTTGGCACCTCACAGAAAGGTCTGGGAATAATCATGTTACAAGTATGAGCAATTTAATCTCCCTGAGCAATACAAAAAGCCAGCGTATGCGAGTTCACACTGCATGATGTTGTCATATCACGTTTCTTTTCACACTGCATGACTACTTGGGGTAGCTTTCAGCATATTGCATGATTTTACTACATTATGAATTGCCCAACAACTCTTTCCGGTGTACCAACTGTAAAACAGAAGTTATAAGGAAATAATCTCACTTGAAAGCTGAAATCTTTTGCAAGACTGGAAATAGTATACCCTGTTGTGATACGAGTCAGACGAAGCATTAAACAGACATGGATGCTCCTGCCAAACCTTCCTCCATGTATTAGGTCCAAAGGGATTAAGAAGAAGCTTTTCTCTCAGTTGAAGCAATGTTTCCTGATTGTGTGGTCACCGACAGGTCCACTTATTTAGCATGCCAAATACATCTATAACATATCAGCGATTCTGTCAATGCATCTTTGATAATTCACACTGTGTGACTGGCACTTCGAAACTTCAACAGCGATTTCACAAAACCTATCACTGAGTAAAAGTATTGGGACTATAATCATGCAGTGTGAATTCAACTCTGAATAAGGCATGCCCCCTACCTCTTTTGAAAACCCTGCCTTACACAGATACTTTTAACAGCACTGAAAACAGGAAACACAAGTATTAAATTAACAGCTTAAATTAATAGCTTTGACAATTTAGTAAACAACTACATCAACTACTCTCTTTTCAAATAGAGGCCTACCTGAACATAGAAAGTGACTGACAGGAGTAACGCACTTTAAAGTTTTCTGACTCACTTACAATAAAATATTAAATAAGATTGACAACATCTGATTTACAAAAGCTGTGCATAGCCAGAAGGGAATCTCAGAGAAACACCAGTGTTTAGTTCCTAAATTAACCTGTTGCTGAACAAATCAAGTGAGTCAGTGATTCAACAATCCTGCTACAATAAGGAATTTATGCTGTGCAATATATTGTCACAGAAACTGTTGAGATAAGCGATATTATAGTCTTTTAGAGATCATTTCATGCCACACTGCATAATGGCTATACAACAGCATAATAATGCAAATAGTCATAAAAACTTCAAAATACTTATCATTCTTAAGGTTATTTAGATTCTAGAATTTGATGTCAAAAAGGTAAATGTCCCATTTTAAATATTATTAAATGTCCAATTAGTTAAATATCCAGTTATAAACTTGACACCGGTAAGGTACAACATAAATGTCATGGTAAAATGGCTTTAATGTTATTTGTGAATTTGTAAATATATATTTCAACGGCAAAAAAGATTGAGCTGATTACAAGTTTAGTTGAGATTGCATGACAAGTCGCTATATCGATTATTCTGACAGTCCTAATGATTTATTCATAAAAACACTCTTGCTTCATTCTACAAAAAAAAAATCAGTCATTTTGAACAATCAGTTTGACTGAATATTGAATATTGACTCAATATTGAATAAGTCAGTAAATTACCCATCAAGTCTTATTAAAGCATTTATTCTTCCAGAACAGGTCTTAACCAACCCCAGTTAAGTATAGTATGGCATTCTATAACAGTAACAGTGGTTATTATTAATGTAAAATAACAAATTAATGTTAATTGAATGATAATTCGGCCTCTACAAGAAGGCATTTGTCAATCTGTCCATAAACCTAAGATCAGTTTAACACCCTGGTCTATATCTATTTGAATATTGGAGCTGTGGCTATAAAGTATGGCTGCATGATAATTGGAAAAAAAACTGACATTGCAATATTTAGTTTTCCTGTGATATACATTGTGATTTGAAAGTATTCTTATGGTGCACTCACTCTAGGCTATTTGAACTGTGCCTGGACATGTTTCCCAGTTCATTTGACAAGTGTGAGTGCTCCGAATCTAATTGCAAGAGGTGTGTCAAAGCACGGTTAGGTTGGGCTTTGGCGCAGTACACTTAAAAAAAAGTGAGCCTGAGCTGGAAAATGAATACGCGACGTCACATTTAAGGGACTGTTTTATATGGATTTAATAATTATTCTTACTTTTCAACAAACGCAAAATGATATAGCTTATTAAAGATGCAAACCCCTCGCTGCATGACAGCTGTACCTTAAACAAACCTCCTAAATCGCCCAGCACAATGACTATTATGATCATTCATGAGCGTGTGGATTTGTTTGGCAAAATATTTGACTGCATGTCACTGCATCCCAAATGACTAAAAATAATAAAAAATGATAATAACGTTAATTAAAGCAATCTCCACTGAGCTGAGCAAGAGTGCTTCTCTTCTGTTAAACTGAAATTTTGCATAATTGATGACGTAAGCGTGCTCCATTTAGGAAGGCAGTTTTTGAGTTTTTGATGTTAATAAAAAACAAATAAATAAATGAACAAATAAACATTATAATTTTTAAAAATGCAGTGCGAGTGCAGGCCATGGGGGGGAGAGGGGAAATCGTCGCAACTCGGCATGGTTCAACGCAACTGTAGCACGTGCGAGTAGTACGCCCTTCATTTTAAATTGATTAGGATGATTTTTGGAGGAGTGCATCTAAGTAAAATGCACAAAATTATAACAAAATATATGCAAATGAAAATAAATTACAACACAGATGAAAAAATAGAACCAAAAAAAAAAAAAGAAATAAACATCGCTTTATGCTTTTTGGTGGAGTCTAACAGTATTGACATAAAGAAATTCAATAATCAAATGTAAAATTACACAATATAGTTATCATCGTAAACATAATTAAACACAATTAGTCTTTGTTAAAGTGGCATTTTTATATACTTGTGTCCAAATGGTTTAAATTGATTAGAAATTGCCTGAAATCCTGTGATGTGACTATTGCAGATTCGTACATTGCGATATTGATGCTAAAATGATATATTGTGCAGCCCTACTATAAAGAATTATAAGCAATAGTTCAAAAGTATACACAGTCACTTATGAACATTCCATGCAATAAATACGACAAACGTATAAATCACCAAAATCCTTCATCAAACTATCTGCTGGCCATGATGTATGTCAATGACAAAATTGCAAGGTTTTTGATTTCCACCCCTCAATATGTAAATGTGATTGGCTGCTTTGAAAAGGGATGTGATGATTACCATGCCATCGTCGTCGTCACGAGTGGAGTAGGTCAGAGTGCTGGAGGTTGAAGGGGTCCTACGATGCTGCTTGTAATTAGTTTCCGCTGAAATGAAAGAGCATGGTTACATGGTGACTGATTGAGCCCTGTTGCTAGGCAAACAGTCACACAGACTTCTGTCCAATCAATGCAGATCTATGTCATTTTCAACACCAGTAATTGCTTTTATAGCAGTCTGATGTACAACATCACAAGCAAAAGTCTCTTATACTCTTTATTTTTAGTAAATTTCAAAACAGCAGTTTAATACATTTTTTCAAATACTTTGGACCACCGAGGACCACCTAATACAGTTGAAGTCAGAATAATTAGCCCCTCTTTGCATTTTTTTCTCTTTTTAAAATATTTCCGTAATGATGTTTAACAGAGCAAAGAAATTTTCAGAGTATTTCAAATAATATTTTTTCTTCTGGAGAAAGTCTTATTTGTTTTATTTTGAGTAGAATAAAGCAGTTTTTAATTTTTTGAAAACTATTTTAAGGAAAAAATTATTAGTCCATTTAGACTTTTTTTTTCTACGATTGTCTACAGAACAAACCATCGTTATACAATAATTTGCCTAATTACCCTAACCTGCCTAGTTAACCTAATTAACCTAGTTAAGCCTTTAAATGTCACTTTAAGCTGTACAGAAGTGTCTTGAAAAATATCTAGTAAAATATTATTTACTGTCATCGTGACAAAGATAAAATAAAACAGTTATTAGAGAGTTATTTTAACTTTATATTAAAAGTTATTAAAACTATTATGCTTAGAAATGCATAAAAAAAATGCTCTTTGTTAAACAGAAAAAAAAAAAATCAGGGGGGGGGGGGGCTAATAATTCTGACTTCAAGTGTAGGTCAGTATTTTGCATACCAAAGTTTTACATGAGCATTTTACAGCTCTAATATGATTCATGTGGTCCAACAGTTAATACTGACCTTTTGCTACTTGTGGGACTGCTGGAAACGTGGATCCAAAACCAGCATCCATTTTGGCCTGCATACAGATAATTATACAAGTCGTTTTTACTAGTAAATTCTTCAAATAACACAATAGCTGACAATTCATATCAGACTACCTTGTTGGTGATGTCCGGTGAAGGTACAGTGGTAGTGGCAATTGCCACGGATCCTCCCGAGAATCAGTCAAAGCGCGATGGTTTACTAACACTCATAATACAGCAAAGCATTGAGCAAAATACCTGCTGTAGCCTGTGGATAAGGGGAAAATAATTAAAAACATGATCTCTCACTAACAATAAATATATAATGCAAACTAGCTGACAATAAATTCAATTTAAAAAGACAATAAAAAATTGTAACCTGTTTAAAAACAACACAAACTAGTGAAAAAAGCACAACAGCACAAAATGAAATACCCCACCATGACCGATTTTACTACGTACAATATTAATTGTGTGCAAGGCACTATAAGTAAACCACAAAAAAATATTAATATTAATTTCACAAAAAATTAATATTAAGCTTTTATATTTTTGGTGTACAACACAATTTTTATTTAAACTTTGATCCATAATAAAATACAATTGAGCAATTCCATGCAAATGTCAACCTTGCCATAAAAATAATAATAAAATAGAATTCATCAAATGTTTCACCCAAAAAAAAAGCTCACCAAAATACGGAAACATTTTCTACATTTTTTGTGTAAGCAAGTATTTTACAGTACATAAAAATACTCAAAAATGTCTGTCAATGTTTTTAAACCATAATATTTGATTTTAAAAAAAAAAGTCACACATGTGGCAATGTTACACCGGTCACATACAAAACGGAGAGATGTCACATCCATAAACCAAGCTTTTTCCTCATTAATGCAAAAATTTTCAACAATTTCTGTTCTATAGTAAGACAACTCTTATTCTTTGGATTAGCATTATTTCTTTGGGGTGTGCAGTTTAGTTCACAGAATTTCTACAAAGCATGTTGTATACTGTAAACTCGCTGACATTTTTGGTCACATCCAAAACACATGTTTATTTTCTACATTTAATTGATTGATGTTTTTCTGATCCCTTAACTCTGTGGTTAGTTGTTTTGGAAAATATGAACGTTTCAAATGTTAACATATACTTTAATATTATATAACATATAGTTTAATTTAAATGTTGAGTCTTTACTGCAAAAGTCTAGGCATGGGCCGGTAAATGATTTCTGACGGTATGAAAACTATGGATAAAAATATCACGGTTTTACGGTATTGTGCTCTGAAATATATTCTTTTTAAATGTCTGGATAAAAAACTAAAACTTTTTCCCCTTTGGACGCAATATATTTTATTTTGAGAAACATTTATAATATTTTGGATATATTAAATAATTCAAGAGAATCACTGAGTTCTGCAGTCTTCATTTGTTTCAAAAACACTGATTTCTTTGCAATAAAAAATATTGGATATCTTTTCTGCTGGAGATACTGTTGTCCTAAAAATAAAATAAATAAAAAATGAAAAATTTCCAAACCACGGTATACCTTGAAAAAGGTTATCATCCCATGCTTAGTCACGTCCATAACGGTGGAAATGCTCAATTAATATACAAATATTCTTGTCTCAAAAAAAAAAACATTGTACATAATATACGAGTCAAAGACATTTTGTGATTTAAAAAAACTATTCCAGAAACATTAAAACATGGTAATACCAAGAAAAGTTTCTTTGTAAATGTTTAAAATAACTTTAATAGAAATAAAGTGGCTTAGTCATAAAATTTAGCAATATACTTATTTTGATGTGTATTAAGTAGGCATGGGACAAAACCGTTTTCAAAGTATACCGCAGTTTGTAAAAGTCAAGGTTATAAAACTTCCAAAATTCGTTCCTAAGGTATGTATAAGATTTTTATTTACTTATTCTTGTAAAGAAATGTGTTTTTGAAACTAATGAAGACTGCAGAAAATAAAATGTATTGTGTTCAAAGGGGAAAAAAAATTTAGTTTTTAACCCAGGCCTTTAAAAAGAATATATTTTACAGCAGAATACCAAACCATGATATTTTTATCCATGCTATCATAATGTCAGAATCTTATACTGGCCAATGCCTAGTACTAAGATATAACACAATGCAATATAATATATAAGAATATAATACAAATTTTAATTAGAAAAAAAGAGCTGCTGAAAATGGGTAATAACTAATGATTTATAGCAGAATGGTAAAGCATAAAGATATAAAATGGCAATTAAGTATTTTGGGTCAGCAATGTTATTGTTATAATCGAGTCATTTATTTGAACATGTAACTATAAACTATTGTTACGCTGAATGAAGGCGGAAGTCTTCTGTAGATTAATCTCAGTTTTTGTGCTAAGAAGAAAAGATATTTGAAAAAGATCCCATCCCACTAAAAATACACGATACAAACACACACAAATAGGTCCACTTCTTATAAGAACTATTCTGAAGAGGATTCTGTTCGATTTTTGGGGATAAAATACAGAAAAATACCAGAATAACATCCCACAGCACCATTTAACATGCACTAATAGAAAGATGACATGATATATACATTTTCTTAACGACCTTCTTATTAAATATAACTTGGCAAAAATCTTGCCACCAAGTGGCCATGTTCATTCTTCCCTACCCACATTATCTAAAAGCGCTATTGATTTAAAAGGGGTTAATGCTCTCTGGTTTTAATATAACGTTACTCAAAATACCAGCAGTGAAGAAAAACAGACACATTTCCCGACACGACGTCAAAACAATTCACAGCCTTTCATGTGTCAGAATAAACATTGGCGGAGGCTGTATGCTAACAGCACAAATCACAACGTAGTACTAATACTTTAATAGTTTTCTTCAAACCTTAAAAACGATACGATTAAGAATGTTTAAACAAACAAACTACACACCAACATGCTAATCAAGTAGGCAGATCAATGTGTTTTGAGACACAGCCAAGATTTTGTTAGCGTCTGATTGCGAAAAGCGTGGACGTTTGTGAGCGTCAGATTAAAACAGAGCGAAAATAAAACGCAAAACACGGTAAACTCCACACATTAACATGTTAAAAGACAAAAAGCAGATAAGTTTGATGCTGTACTAATGATTCGAATGCCTGAAAATGAGCTGGCTAGCTGTGTTGGCTAGCTGACGAAGTTGGTTTTTCGACCAGCTTTAGTAAAACACCAGATTTAGCTTTACGTAACGTAGGAAACAGACCACTAGCTTAGCTGCAAAAGACGTGATGGCATTAGATAAATCTCCCATGTCTGTTTAGCCAAACAAAGTAGGTTCTCACCATTGATGCTAAATCAAAGTCTGCAGATGGTCCAATTTTAGTCTTTCTCCCTCACACCCAGACGCACATCTACCGAGGCATTCTGGGAAATGTAGTGCGGAAAAACATATTACGCTTCACTGTCGGGAACTGACGCAAGTTGCTGGAATCGAACAAATAATATCGACTATTCAAGAAAGGATTAGTTTGTTTAGTTAACATTTTCTTTTTGTTTTTTAGTTTAAGATATTAACTTCCAAAGTGTTATTGTAGGGGATTAAATTTAATTTATCTTAGTGATTCGATTCTTTTGAATCATGCAAGATGCACCATGTATGTTACTGCAGGAATCATGTGTGATATGATATGACTGGCTTAACTTATCCCTCGCCGAGTACTTCAACAAATCTTAACCTTTTCAGCTTTTCTGCCAAGCAATACAAATACCAAAGCAGTCTAAAAGTTGATCAAAAGTAGAGACGTGTAAAAATATAAGTCAGAGTAGTGAAAGAGTTGTTCAAAACTTTGATTCGTTCAGTTGAAAGATTCATCCACGAAACAACATAACGTAACGTCACGCTCTTGTTAGATATTTAAGATATTGATAATTTCTTCATAATTCCGACTTTTTACAAGCCTCAGATATCCTGCACATAACCATGTATGTTCATACCAATGGTTCATACATGTAATTTTCTATCCAGCATTTAAGTTATTAAAGTAAACAGAAGGGGGTGCTGTTTGCTCAGATCCAGAGTTTGAACATACATTTAACTCTAATGCAGAAAAATGCGTATCACTAAAATTTATACCAGGCCCGTAGCCAGGAGGGGGTTCGGGTGGTTCGAAAGACTCACCCCTCACTGTCAAAGGTCCAAAATTTGTCCCATACATGAGAAAATATTTTACAGTAAACTTTTATTATAAATTTCGGACCTTATACATGAAAGAAAAAAAGCCCTACTTTTAATACAGTTGCTGTTATCCATGGGTTTTAAAATGTACTTTTTACAAGATAAATTGATAATCTCTACCTTATTATTATTATTATTATTAATATTAATATTATAATTATTATTATTATTGTTCATTCATTCTTTTTCTTTTCGGCTTAGTCCCTTTATTAATCTGGGGTCACCACAGCAGAATGAACGGCCAACTTATCCAGCATATGTTTTACACAGCAGATGCATTTCCAGCAGCAACCCATCACTGGGAAACACCCATTCACACACATACACTATACGGACAGTTTAGCTTACCCAATTCATCTATACCACTGTGGGGGAAACCGGAGCACCTGGAGGAAACCCATGCGAACACGGGGAAAACATGCAATCTCCACACAGAAATGCCAACAGACCCAGCTGAGGCTCAAACCAGCGACCTTCTTGCTGTGAGGCGATTGGTCTACTTACTGCGCCACCGTGATACTCTTATAATTATTTTTTTATTTTTTTTACAATTTTTTTTTTTAGATAGGCAAATTGTGACTGAGGAAAGTTGAATGTGCTGCTCAGCATACTATTTGCCTAATAAATGACAATAGGCTACTTTTTTATTTAATACTTTAACAGATTTCTTTTTTCCTCAATGATGTAATAAAAAGTTGTATTTTTTTCTTCATATTTCTTTATTCTAAATCTTTAGGAAATGTTTTTAGTACATGAAATAGTGATAAGCTAAGATAACCCAGCTAAAATAGTGCTTAAAATGTCACCAAATGCGGTATTTAAACTTCATAATTAAATAAAAAATGAAGTAAATCACTGCAAAAAGCTTCATCAAGCTGGCAACAAGGCTGTATTCAATATTACTCCTGCCACCATCAATTTATGCTTTTGTCTAGCCTTGTTCAACAAATTCCGCCTCGTAATTTAGTCAATTACTGATATTTCAGTGAATTTTTTTGATGTAAGGTATTCCGTCATAATTAAAACCCTAGTCCCTGTCATATTGCAGTATTTTAGAAATGCATATTGCATGTTAACAATTTTATACCGATGAACATATTATTTAGGGTGATAAAGGTCATTTAGCATTGGTATTGTCATACACTTTTGAGCAAAAAGAGGGTGAATGATTTGACCTGTGTTCACCAGAATAATGGTCCATTACATTGTTCTCTCAGAGCCACAGGTAAACCACTTAAGGTTGAAATCTGTGCAGAAATGTTGTGAATACAGAATCTCTAGCTGCTACACTCTTGATTCCTTTGAGCTGAAACATCCATTAGAGTAACTTATGGCCCCCTGTGCCATTGCTTTTTGAGCTACAGCACTAATGGCAGTTTTTTATGGACATCCGTCAATTTAGGACACATGGTATGGGTCTTTATCTTCAGTATGTTGTCTCAGGCTTCTAAGGGGTATCTGTGTAAATTCTCTTTGATGAGGAACGAATGCTTCTATGAACTGTTGTCCTACATGGCACTTAAGATACTCTTTGCATTGTGGAGCCAAAGAATAGCCAGCGGCCCCATCAAAAGCTTGACCCCATAGGCAAGTCAGCGCAGGAAGTTCTGAATTGAGGATCCATTAACCGTATTCAGAGCAGAGCTCCATTCTTCCCGTACGCCCAATAAATGATGGATGCAATAAAAATAGGATGTGCTAAAGTTAGGAAGTTGATAGCTGAAGGGAAGAACTGCTCAGTGGCTATTAGTCAGTTTGTGAAACGCAAATATTTGAATATAACATTTACATTTCTCAATGGGGCTAAAACATGGGAAGGTTTAGCTAATACTGATAACGTGTAACATTTGAAAGCAGTCACTTTGGCAAAAAACAAATGGCTTAAATGAAAATGAGTTTGGTGTGCTTAATCCATTCATGTGTGTGTGTGTAGAAACAGGTGCACCATTAATCTTATCAAGTCTATATTTAGCACAAGGTACTTTAAATATTTATGTTCTGTCTACTGTATTTTTTCACTTTGGCTATAGTGACTGCAACTTTTTGCACATTATCTGGTCTATTGTTTAGTTACTGAAATGAGCAGATGTTGTGGTGAAAGAATGTTTGGTTTTACGAAACAGCCTCATGGTTAATGTGTTTTGTTTCTTTCAGGTGTGATACCGCAGGAGATGATCGAGATGTGCAGATGGCAGGCAAACCTTGGAAAGGAATAGTATCAGACTATATGGAATGGTACACTGTCAAAACATACCAAACTTTGGAAAGGGATATTGTCAGTGCTTTCAGGTTTATATGTGTGTAAAAGCATGCGTAGTTTAATACAGATGACAGATAGTCTGCAAAAAAAAAGTCTTGCAAATTTGTTTTGACTGTTCCTCTGCATGGATGAATATAACACAGGTATACACATGGGTTCAATATATTACAGTAGGTGAGCAAATAATTGAACACATGTATTTTTGGTTGTTTTACAAGCAGGGATTCCCCAGAGGTATTTTAAAATGATCAAATTTTCTCATTTATTATGACAACTATACCCACAGCTGTGTGTTTTCCAGTACAATTGCTTAGCTTCTCAGCCTCAGCTACTACAATTTATTCATTCATTCATTTTCTTGTCGGCTTAGTCCCTTTATTTATCTGGGGTCGCCACAGCGGAATGAACCGCCAACTTATCCAGCAAGATTTTATACAGCGGATGCCCTTCCAGCCGCAACCCATCTCTGAGAAACATCCACACATACACACACACACTACGGACAATTTACCCAATTCACCTGTAGACTGTGGGGAAAACCAGAGTACCCGGAGGAAACCCACGCGAACATGCAAACTCCACGCGCCAACTGAGCCGAGGATCGAACCAGTGACCCAGCAACCTTCTTGCTGTGAGGCGATTGTGCTACCCACTGCGCCACTGCGTCGCCGCTACTACAATTTAAATAATAAATAATATAGAACAGTACACAAATAATTATTAAAGGGGTATTAAGGTCTGAAGACATAATTTGGAATATGGATTTTTTTTAAATGCTGTACTTTGTTGATTTGTTACACTGTGATGCACACAATTTGACTGTCAAGCTGTTTAAAGTCAGTATAAAGTGTTACTGTTTGTATCGCTTTACATATCTTGCCTACAGCCAGAAGCTGTTTATTTCTGAAGGCGTCAGCATTAGAATCACCCAAGTATAGCTTTTATGCTGAATATCAAATGAGCAGTCAAATCTTACAGCAGCTAACAACATCTATGGACTTAATCAGTTAACCTAGCAGAAATATTTACTGTTGATGTTTAATTTTATTTCAATATCCACATGTTTGTGAGAAGACAAATGAAAACATATAGGCCTTACTGAAAATTGTTATGTAACGTACATATACTCTTTGGCTACTTGATTAGGTAAACCTTACTAGTACTGAGATGGACCCCCTTTTGCATTCAGAACTGCCTTAATCCTTCATGGCATGGATTCAACAAGGTACTGGAAATATTCCTTAGAGAACTTAGTCTGTATTGACATGATAGCAGTTGCTGCAAATTTGTCGACTACACATCCATAATGTGAATCTCCCGTTCCACCACATCCCAAAGGTGCTCTATTGGATTGAGCTGGCAGCGAACTCATTGTCATGTTTAAGAAATCAGTCTGAGATGATTCATGCTTTATGACATTAAATTATCTTGCTGTCAAAAGATGGGTACACTGTGGTCATTAAGGGATGGATATGGTCACAATACCCAGGTAGGCTGGGGTGTTGACACGATGCTTAATTGGTACTAATGAGCCCAAAGTGTGCCAAGAAAATATCCCCCACATCATTAAACCACCACCACCAGCAGCCTGAACCATTGATACAAGGTAGGATGGATCCATGCTTTCATGTTGTTGATGCCAAATTCTGACCCTACCACTCCAATGTCGCAGCAGGAATCAAGACTCATTAGACCAGGCAACATTTTTCCAATCTTCTATTGTCCAATTTTGGTGAGCATGTGCGAATTTTAGCCTCAGTTTCTTGTTCTTAGCTGGCAGGAGTGACACCCGGTGAGGTCTTCTGCTTCTGTAGCCCATCCGCCTCAAGGTTCGACGTGTTGTGTGTTCAGAGATGCTCTTCTGTATACCTCGGTTGTAGTGAGATGTTATTTGAGTTATTGTTGCCTTTCTATCTGCTCAAACCAGTCTGGCCATTCTCCTCTGACCTCAGGCATTAACAAGGCATTTGGGCCCACAGAAATGCCACTCACTATTTTCTTTTTTCGTGTCATTCTCTGTAAACCCTCAAGACGGTTGTGTGTGAAAATCCCAGTAGATCAGCAGTTTCAGAAAGCTCATCTGGCACCAACAACCATGCCACATTCAACTGCAGCAGATCGTTTTGACCATGTCTACATGCCTAAATGCATTGAGTTGCTGCCATGTGATTAAAACCACCAATACAAATAAAACCCCTTATTGTTTAAGAAAGATAAGGGAATGGCACCATCCTAAAAAGACACAAAATCACTTCAAGGAATTTTAATATGTTAATATTTTGCACTGGAAGGGACATTACAACCTTTCTTTTTTCTATGCTTCACCTACTGTCACAAGCATCTATTTAGTTGCTATTCTGTAGATTTGACTGGCTTATATTTGTAAGTCACTTTGCAGCATCTTTTAAAATATTAAATGTAAAACAACAGGTTACACACTTTATTTTAAAATCCTTTCCCACTATTCGGAATTCCTTCTGGGCCAAAATGATCTTCAACAACACAGAACGTTGTTGCTTTCCCCACATTATTGTCTAGGAGGCTTATTCTCTTTAAGTGGAAACAAACATCTCCACCTTTATATGACAGATGGATAAAAATCTTTTTGAAAACATCTTTCTTAAATTATATTGACTATTGATCTTGAAGCAGAAGCAGATTAAAGCTTTATTTATTATTATTTTGTTTAACTTTTATTGTTAGTTTTGTTATTTATTTATTTACTTATATATATATATATATATATATATATATATATATATATATATATATATATATATATATATATATATATATATATACATACACAATTGTTTTTTACTATATATATATATATATATATATATATATATATATATATATATATATATATATATATATATATATTTATTTTTTATATTTTTTTTAAAGAAAAAGCTTCCTAAATGCGACGCAAAAGTAACACGTTGGAGCTCGGTGTTTCCATATTAGGGCACAGCAGCTGGACAAAACGTACCAGAAGTGTATAGGAACATTTGCGTTCTGAAGATCTAAACACTGACAATCTGAACAGGCAACGGGATATCGAGCGTCCTTTTGTCTCCTGCATTAGAAGCATTTAGACTTTAACAGCATATAACCACCCCCCCGATCCCCCCCTCCCGGACAGATTTGCCCCGGCACCTCCTCTACATTGGCCCAGCAGGGATTGAACAGCGTCCTTGCACTTTACTAGGCTGTAACCACTGCCATCAGCTCAACTTCTATAGCATCGTTTCAGCTGTCCGTGCCGCCGCCGCCGCTGCCGGAGATTATCTTCTTTCCGTCTGCCTGACCAGTCCTTCGGCTGTTTGCAGCGGATTCACAATCGCCTATCGTCTTGTTTTTTCGTCACTTAGACACAGACGTATGCTTGTTTTTTGATTAATCTAAGGACATTTCCAAATAGATAAGAGCAGTCTGCGCCAAACAGGGGATTACTCAAAGATACATCACCGAGGTAAGCGACACCAATGTACATTTAATAATCGTATCCGTGCTTGACTGCTGACTTAACTTGTAATGTTACCGATTGATAGCTCTAAAATCTTATCCTTTGCATTTTCATATTGTTTTATCACTCCCACCATCACCATGGAGGCTGCAAGCGATTTTGCCGGTGTTACATAAAAACTTGGATTTTCAGCGTCCTGCTTTTACCTCATCCGTCCCTCTTTTTTGATTAATAAAATCATAGGGTTATTTAAACGTAGCCTATATTCACAGCAGGGAGGAAAGGATGAATCCTAATTCTGAAGAAGCTCCTTTATAGTTTGATCTGCTCTGTGAAACCCAAATAGACCCATTAGAGGTAACTGAGATACAGCAAGTCATGCTGGACTTCATTGGATGAATGTGTAGCTACAAAAATCCAGCCATCATATTTATTGACAAATGTGATTCATTTTCATCTTTAGATTCCTTAGATTCTTTGCACATCAGTTTGAGAACAATATAGCTCACAAGTTTTATAATAAACGTGCATTTGTTTGGAAATTGCTGCATATTTTAAAATCAAATTAGAATGCAATCCCTCCTATTTGGATGCTGACCTACATCATTGAACGACCTACATGAAGAACTTGGCTTGGGAAGTTTGTCATGGTCCTCCTCCATTTAATATGTCACACTGTCCTATACTGTACTGACGAGTGCATATCATATTAGACCATAAAGCAAAAACAAACCTCATGCATTTCATCAATTATTTTACTGTGTCTGGAATTTTGGTTCATTTGGATGAATTGGTAAAGAGGGGGAAAGGGTTCATGCCTTGCGGCAAACTGTTGTATATTCTGGGACACTATTGATTCTGTTTGGGGCCACGGTGAAGCACTGAAATCACTGTTCTGCTTTTGTTATATTGGAACACAATGTTCAAAATATTCCTACAACATATGCATGTAATTTAAAGGGGAAAACTAAGATCAACTCACCATTTACTCTCCCCCAAGTTGTTCCAAACCTTTATGAGTTTATTTTTCTGTTGAACACAAGAAGATTTCAAAGAATTCATTAGTAATTGACATCTATAGACCATTTTAATATGTTGATGTCATTATCCCATGAACATTTCCTGCTTGTTGTCAAACCAACTGTAACAAGAATCAGTTCACTCATCTTAATGTTAAAATCATGACATTACTTATTATGTGTCCCTTTTTGGATTCTTGGAAGCTAAAGAAATGAAATATGTGAAACAGGACATACGTTGGGACCATAGTTTTTGTTTACATCCCTCAAAATGGTCTATTAATGCACAAAAAGTCAATGGGTACAAGTTTTTAACATTCTTCAAAATGTCTTATTTTAGTTAAGCCTTTGAGTCACCTTAAAGGGATAATTTACCCAAAAATGAAAATTCCCCAATTATTCTCTCTCATTTGGTTCCAAATCTTCATGATCTTCTTTGTTCTGTCGAACACAGAAGAAGATATTTTGGAAAAAGCTGAAAACCTGCAACCATTGACTTCCATAGTATAATATCTTCTTTTGTGTTCAACTGAAGAAATAATGGGTGAGTAAACAACGGCAAAAATGTCATTTTGGAGCAAACTATCCCTTTAAGTATTTATGGATGATTAGAGAAAAGTGGAAAGTTTTAGGGCACTACAGTTTCCAAACATCTTTGTCCCTCAACCATTTGCTTTGAAGAACATCACGGTCTCTCAAGCTGCTGTGAATGTGTTTAGTCTCAGATAGTGAAATCAGAGCTTTTAGACAGAGAGAGGCTCCAGTGTCTGGCTGGTGTTGCTGGGAAGCGCTTAAAAGCCTTTATGGGACGGATGTAGAGAGGCAGCAGAACACCTGCATGCTGAACTGTCTCTGCTCTCTGGCTCACACTCATGCCCTAATGCTGGACTGCTCTCAAGACTCCAACTCTGATCCCCCTCAAAACCCCTGCTTAGAGAGGAACAAACATCAGACAACCAATTGATGATGACTTCATTTATTTGAAGGCTAAATACATGCACACAGTTCGTCTGAGAACAACAGGGACAAGATCTGTTTAACTGGGATTTAAGTCAAGAGTATAATGTAGCGTGACTGAATCAACCTCATGTTGGACTATACCAATTATTAAAAATAAGGTTAAATCAGGAAGCATTGATGCCTGAAGGTAGTTTTTATGATTAATTTTACTATTAAGCATTTAATTAAATATCTTTTAATAAAAAGCATTTGTTTAAAATTTTAAATCACAATGGTTCTTGAGTGTATTGTACAACACACAATGTAAAACTTAGGATTAAGCAACTTTGGGTTAGTATTAATGTTAAAGTCACATAATTGTACATCATCATTTGTTATAACTAGGCATGGGCCGGTATATGATTCTGACAGTATGATAGCTTTAGATAAAAATACTAGGGTTTCGCGAAATTGTGATTAATACTCTAAAATATATTCGTTTTAAATGTCTGGGTAAAAAACATAAACTTTTCCCCCTTTGGACACAGTATATTTTATTTTGAGAAACTTTTAATGTTTTTTGGAGCAGTAAACATGTCAGGCTATGAATTCAAGTGAATCATTGACTTCTGCTGTCTTCATTTGTTTCAAAAACACACATTTTATTACAATTTAAAACGGCATCTTTGGATATCTCTTCTGCTGGAGATACTGTTGTCCTAAAAAGTACTACAAAACATTAAAAGAAACCTTACATATACCATAGGAAATGTATAGCAGAAAATCTTGGCGTATTTAAAACCTTGACTTTTCCAAACCGTGGTATACCTTGAAAACAGTTATAGTCCCATGCCTAGTTTTTACTATAGTATATGTGTAGCATGTAATAAGGACACCCAAAAAAAAAAGGTTTAAATTTTATTTATTGATTCATTCATTTACTTTTCGGCCAAAAAAAGTCGCCAGAGCGGAATGAACTGCCAACTTGCACATGTTTTACGGAGCGGATGCCCTTCCAGCTGCAACCCATCTCTGGGAAACATCCATACACACTCAATTACACTGAGTGTGACAATTTACACTACGGACGATTTAGCCTACCCAATTCACCTGTACCGCATGTCTTTCGACTGTGAGGGAAACCGGAGCACCCGGAGGAAACCCACGCGAATACATGGAGAACATGCAAACTCCACACAGAAACGCCAACTGACCCAGCCGAGGCTCGAACCAGCGACCTTCTTGCTGTGAGGCGACAGCAACAACTACTGCGCCACTGCGTCACCAAGGTTTTAATTTGTATTTTAAATATATATTTTTTGTTTTTGAACAAATGAAAAAGTAAAAAAGGGGTGAGAAAGCAAATATCAATCATTTAGCACAATGAGGTTTAATGAAAAAGATTATTGTATGAATTACAATTATTTCTATACAAACAATAATTAAATACGAATTGTTGCAGCAGTAAATGCAAATGAAGAACCATTACAAAAATGGCTTTAGAAGTCATGGAATGACTTGTTTTCATTCATCCATTCATTTTCCTTTTGCTTAGTTCCTTTATTTATCAGGGTAGCACAGCGGAATGAATCGGCACCTTATCCAGCATATGTTTTACACAGCAGAAACACTCATACACCACATTCACACACATTCATACACTACTGCCAATTTAGTTAATTCAATTAACCGATAGCGCATGTCTTTGGACTGTGGGGAAAACTAGAGCACCCGGAGGAAACGCACACCAACTCGGAGGGAACATGCAAACTCCATACAGAAATGCCAGCTGACACAGCCAGGACTCAAACCGGTGGTCTGTTTGCTGTGAGGCGACATTGACTGAGCCACTGTGTCACCTGTATTGCTTCTTTTATTTAAAAATAAAATTAAATATATTATAAATATTTAAGTAGAAACCTCTTAATAATCTGTTTATGATTAATTATTTCTATTTACTATTTAGCAATTGAATAAAATATTTAAAATGTACTTTTTATTGTGTATTTTAAATAACTGTGTTTAAATAATTGTGTATTTTAAATAACAGCAGAAACAGCTATAGTGAAAATGTGTAAATACCAAAATTTGTTGGAAAAATACCCAAAATTAATATTATCTAAGATAATACCGTCAAAAATAACGAAATAAGCATGACAAAACGTTGCTTCAGATTAATTTGTCAATGCTTTATTTGTTTTCATGTCACTGAACATAACCAATCTGCTAAGCATGGATGTACAAATCATATCCACAAACCATTAGTGGCGTACACATCAAATAGTGTGAGGTGCAGCTTTGGCAAGATTTTTAACTGCAATTTATGCACTGTTGAAATTACATCAGAATAAGGACACATTTATTTTTGGAGCCCGTAGAATCAAAGAGCCATGTGAAAACAAGTTTCAGTACAAGAATCTGTTTAGTGACACAATGTCGTCTTTCTTGTCATTTAGGTCTAGTCTGATCACTTCCACAACAAGCCGCAGTCATGGACGAGATGGACTTGCCCCAGATGAAGAAGGAGGTAGAAAGCCTGAAGTACCAACTGGCCTTCAAAAGGGAGAAATCCTCAAAGACAGTGACAGAGTGAGTTGGCTCTTTTGTTCTTCATTCTGTGATAGTCTCTGCCACAACCCATATATTTTACGCTGTCGCCCCAAATCACAACCCAAAAGATAATAATGACTCTTTCTACTTTTGGTGCTTTGTCTCATCTAATAAAGTGCACAAAAACAGCAACGTCATTCTTTTATTACTCAACATTTTCACTTGATTCTTGTTAGTCAGTCATGCTGTTCAATATGTAAGGGATAAAGTACATCCATGCGGTTGTTGTGAAAGAATGAGACCAAACAGGTTGATCAGTTTTTGTTTAAGCCTGAAGGCCTTTATTATGCGCAAACAATCACCTGGATGTACTTTATGTTGCTTATACACGGCTACAAAATGTAAATATTCGACACAAGGCATTATTCTGAGCCGTAATGGTTTAAATAATTAATCAATTGACTAACAGAATTGAACATGGCTGATACAGTAACCTATGTATTTGGTTAGAAAATAGCAGTTTAAAACACAGATAAGAATATAGAGTAAATAAAATATTCACTCATACCTGGTACTTGTATGAGCTTGTGTTATTACTTTTAGCAGTTGTTATCTGGAAATAACATGCATTGGAATGTCGTGACTGACAAATTCTGTATTCCAAAGAGCTGTGTAGTAATGTGTTATAAGAAAACATGCAATTATACAATTGGCTGTTATTTTGGCAATATACTCGTGCTAGTTTCATGACAGTATGTGGATCGAAATTGAATTGTAAGCGCAATATGAAACGTTGCAATTAGCTAATGATATGAAATGTATATCATTTAATTTCCCCACCCAGAGCAATTGTGTCACTGCCGTCTGTGTGTGACAGTCTTACTAGCCAATTGAGTGAGCACACTTTCGTTCTGCCCAATCAAAATTATGCAACCAAACTATGCGGAACGCCCACAATAAAAACAAACAAATAGGAAAACGTGAATGAGTGGGATGATGGCATCTGCCGATTCAGAAGCATTAATAGACAAATTAATATCAAAGAAAAACAACACATTGGTAATATGGGAATATTTTGGTTTCAAAGACACCGAATAATAACAGGTATACTGTATTGTTTAACTTATGAATATTTAAAAACAAATTTGAATAAGTGTTGGAGTAAGTTAATATCTTTTCAGTTCCTTTTTTTAACTAACACTCACTGCATTTTGGCAGTAAGAAGCTACAATACAGATTATTGAGCTGAAGATTGACTGCAAATTTAGACCGCAAATCGCAATTAGATATTCTTCCCATATTGCACAGCCCAATGTGGAGGGAAACAAATCGGAACAGCTTTGTGACAATGCTGCTGCAGAAACTGAATTTATAGGGCTTCCATGATATATAGAAAGATTTGGGATCAGTAAGATGAATTTAGGTATTTCAACCACATCTTAAACACTTCATGCTGAATTAAATCACACTGAAGCAGTCATCAGAAATTTCTAAGACTTGTGGCAAACAAAAAAAAAACAGGAGCAAATAAGTATATAAAATAGTATAGCAAAAGTGCATTACCTACAGTTTAAAAGTTTGGGATCAGTGAAATTTTTATTTAATGTTTGGTGTAATCTAGCTCTTTTTAAAAAACAGCCAATAGTGTTTTGTTTTATCAGTGCTCTGCCAGTGAGAGCGATTGAGCTCAAGTGCATCAAATGAAAAGCAAATGAGAAACGTCTTAAAGGGGGCGGGGCATGTTAGATACTAGAGAGCATCTGATTGGTTATGATGTGATGAGAAACTAGTATGGGTTGACGTGAATAAAACCGTTGATCCATTTAAGGAGAAGTGACAAACTATAAGCTTTACATGCTTCTATCATTTTTATATCTTCTAAATGCGTATTTTGTCCCGGTTTTTGACCACACTAGCTTAAAGATATCTTAAAAACTAACAATACTGATAATAACATCTAAAAAACTTGATTTTAGTTTCATGGGACCTTTAATGATTTTGAAAGTCTTTTATGTGCACCAGAAACACAATAAAAATGTTAAAATTGTGAAACAATTTTATATTTGAGTGTATTTTAAAGACATTTAAATTTAAAATGGTGCTGTTTAATTGAGAGAAGATTTATGAACATTTGTAAACATAAAGATAGATTTAAAAACTATTTCTAAAAACAAATCTTCCATCATATTTTACCAGTTATTTTACTATTCAGTAAACTATAAAGTGCGATTTAAAGGCTTAACAAGGTTATTGGACAACAGTGGATTGTTCTGTAGCCAAACCCAAAAAATAATCATTTCTAAAGGGGCTTAATAATATTGACCTTCAGAATTATCATTAAAAAATAATTTTATTCGACCCAAACTAAAAGAAATGACACTCTCCAGAGAAAGAAATATATTATATTTTGCATCATACTGTACTTTTTGCACTATATACTGTTTTGCATCTGCACGACTCCAGTTAGCATTCCATGCCATGTGCCTTTAGGTGTAATTGTAGGATTTACAAATGTTTATTTTTACTCATATTTTTAGATTACATTATAAAATTGTATTTACTGTCATTTCTTTTTTAAAATTCTTCCTTTTGTATTAATATTATATGTTAGGCACCAAGGGTTTGAAAGTAATACGTCTTATATGTGGTTGAATTGACAATAAAGCTGACTTTGACTGATATTAGGAAAAATACTTTGCTCTGTTAAACATCGGTTAGGAAATATTTCATATTTTATATATGTATAAGTCTATATTGTTGCATTGTAGTACAGGTTATAAGTAAGAAGTAATTTAAATAATAAAAAGACTCCAATCAACATTTAATGCATGTTATTGTTTTGATAAACACTCATCTTATAAGCTAAAGAACATACTGTAGTTTATTATTTAGAAATAATTAGTAAAATATTACCTAAACTTATCCACTCATCATAACACCATAGCCTGTTTTGCATGGATAGTCATCAGTTTTAATGAATTTCCCAAAACTGTTTTCTGATTGAATAACCCCAACACCCCCATGAACTATCTGCAGTTATTTCTGAATTTGCAGGTTCACCTCATATGAGGCTGCCCAGAGGCCACGTCCTCTCGGTGATTGTTCAGGACAAAGCTAATGCTCTCAGATCTCTGGTGCTTTACTCTTCAATTTGAGAGCAACCGTGGCCTCTTAGTCACACCCTCCACTGTCGCATTACAGTGACATCTCATTTTCCTGCGTCCCAGGGCCCTCTTCCTGAAATATTCACAGTGGTAATTTCTCTGTTACAAATTAAATTGTAGTGGGCAGTAGTGAACAGGCCGTTTACACCAGCAGACTGCTTCCTCAAGTGTTTTGTGCAGTTCAGATGAATAAGCAGTTGTGAAGTTGTCAGAGTTTGTTAACGATGACTTAAAAAACTGCGTTTGGGTTTGACTGGAGTCTCATTCAGCCCTCTCGTTTTGGACATATCATTTCTATTAATCGCCTGTGATGGATGGTGCTTCCGCAAAGAGTTTTATGGTTATCACCCTCATCTATCAATTGTTCAGCATGGATGATATCTTGCATGACCCCAATTGTTTAAAGGGACAGTTCACACCCACAAAAAAAGAATTAACTCTTTCATCATTTACTCATTCTAAACATATAAGATGTTCACGCTTCTTCAGAAGACAATATATTAGAATGGAATCAGAGAGATGCCCCTTCAATAAAACAATGTTCAACACAAAATTTGAAACTACTGAAATATTACATTGGCCAATTTTCTGACCATTACACCATTTCAAATGTTTGCGATGTTTAATGTTTGTGTATATATATGAGGACATAGTCCTTAGATACATGTAAGCAAAAGGTATGTGCACACATTAATTTCATAAATGTATGCATTAGTTTGTCTTTGGAGAGTGTTTATTAGATGTATGTATGACAGGGTTGCCTGGACCAAGAACAATTTTCAGCCTGATAACTACTGAAAAACTGACCAAAAGGAATTAAATGAATTGTCCAATCAGAATAAAGTGAAAGTTTTACTTCATCTGATAATTTGTTATACATATACTTGTAGATACAGTGTACACTACTTGACAAAAGTCTTGTTGCCTATCTAAGTTTTGGAAATAACAAATAATACTTGACTTCTAGTTGATTATTTCGTATCAGAAGGCCTCTAGATTATGCTTATTTTACCAAAATAAAATATGATCATGCATTGATTTTTTAATTATTTAATTAGGAGAGTAAGGTCTGACTTTGCTTACAAAAGTCTTGCACTTAACAGAAATAATGTCCAGTATAGAATATAAAGTCATGGTGCAGTGGAAAAAGAATGAATATTGTGTCGGACTCCCATAAGCTTGGAGGAGTGCATCCATACATCTCTGCAATGACTTATTAATAAAGTCATCTGGAATGGCAAAGAAAACATTCTTGCAGGACTCCCCGAGATCAAGATTCTTTGGATTCATCTTCAATGCCTCCTCCTCCATCTTACCCCCTATATGCTCAATAATGTTAATTTCTGGTGACTGGGCTAGCCAATCCTGGAGCATCTTGACCTTCTTGGCTTTCAGGAACTTTGATGTGGAGGCTGAAGTATGCAAAGGAGCGCTATGCTGCTGAAGAATTTGCCCTCTTCTGTGGTTTGTAATGTAATGGGGTATACAAATGTCTTGATATCTCAGGTTGTTGATGTTGTCATTCACTCTGCAGATCTTTCGCATACCCCCATATTGAATGTAACCCCAAACCATGATTTTTGCCGTTACCAAACTTGACTAATTTCTATGAGATTCTTGAGTCCATGCGGATTCCAATAGGTCTTCTTCAGTATTTGTGATGATTGGGATGCAGTTCAACACATGATTCATCTGAAAAATCGACCTTCTGCCACTTTTTCAATTGATCAACTAGAAGTCAAGTTATTATTGGTTACTCTTACAACAAGACTTTTGTCAGGTAGCGTATGTGTTAAAGTACAGATTGACTTTACACACACAAAATAAAACTCATAAGTAGCTTTCTCAGGTGTGGGCATAACTAACATTCCGCTCATTTAATATTTGATATGCCGTCACACAGCTATACTCGCTCACTTGCAGCAGCTTTTTAGTTGCCCGGTATACATTCCATGATTAAATGTTTATCAAGAAATGATTCCATTTTCTATTCCAGAAAAGGAAGCATTTTGGCAGCTGCGGCACATTGTAAAATATCCCCCCAAAAACAACCCACTACTTTATGTTTATTCCAGCAACTGCATTTGCAAAAGAGCCCAACTGTGTGCAAAACTGCAACCATGGCAACACTAGTGTAAGGGTAGAGTTTGTATATGTGCATTTCATTTTGCATTGAAGCAAAGGTTTGTATGTATGCTTATATAACAGATGTGTTAGCATTTTTTGAGCCTTTTAATACTGGAATGTCTACTTAATATGTGTATGTGTGTTTACCGTATGAACTTTTTAAGTGCTGCATGGCGCCTCATACTACATAGTACAAATTCTGTCATAAAAAAACAACAAAGTACTGGCATGATGCAAAGAGATTTGTGTTTTGCAGCTTTACTGCAACTCTTTACAATACATGTTTTTTCGAAATGTGATATTAACAACACAAATCATATAGACATGGGCTGGTAAAAGATGACCGTATGATAACCTTGGATAAAAATATCATGGTTCTCTGTATTGTGATAACTGCTCTACAATACATTCTTTTTAAATATCAACGAATCAACAAAAGTAAAAAAACAAACAAACAAAAAAATCCTCTTTGAACATGATATATTTAATTTTGAGAAACTTTTAAAATATTTTGGAGCAATAAACATTTCAGGCTAAATAATTTAAATCAATCATTGACTTCTGCTGTCTTCATTAGTTTCAAAAACACACATTTCTTTACAATTTTAAAAGGCACCTTTGGAGATCTTTTCTGCTGGAGATACTATTGTACTAAAAAAACTAAACAAAAAATTATTAATAAAAAATCTTACACATATCTTAGGAAAGGTATAGCAAAAATGTTGGCAATTTTAAAACCTTGACTTTTCCAAACCGCGGTATACCTTGAAAATGGTTATCGCCCGATGCCTAAAATCAACTACAGTGTTTAGGGGTCAAAGTAGACCTTGTACAAGGGCAGCAAGTGAAGAGAATAGACTGGCATTTTGCAAATGCATCACAGTTCAGATCAATTGTAGCTTTTTTTTCCCATATTTGCTGATAGGACGGTAGAGATAGGAAAGCTGGTGTAGAGAGAAAAGAGAAGGGGATCAGCAAAGCACTGCGTGACAGGCCGGGAATCAAACTTGGGATGCATAAAGCAGTTGTGCAACATGTCTGTGCGTTTAACCATAAAGCTAGATGCACAAGCATACCAGAAGACTCGTTTCAGTGATCCAGACTGATAATTGTTTTTGATAATTCATGTTGATATTTAAAAATATGCAGACCTTTTACATTAAAAGCCTGCAACGTTGCACACTGCATGAAAAGTTATATTCGAAAAGCATATAATGAGAACTTTAAAATTTTCCAGCAATATTCTAAAGAAATAAACAAGGTTTAGGTATTTATACAGAAGTGACTATATTTCTTCAATAAAGATTAGACTTTATTTAGATTTTTGCCAAGCAGAAAGCAGCATATAAACTTTGTAAACTAAATTAAATCTCTGGAGTCTTCAAACATTCTTTAAAAACATTCATTTTCAGACAATTCTGAAGTTTGAAACTTTTGCGCAGAAGTTTCAATGAAGTCTTGTGTATTTTCTGAAGAAGAGCAAATGCCTTATGAGTTGGGAATGACATTATGGCTGAGAAAATGATGGCAGAATTTTCATATTTGAGTGAATTAACCCCCAATGTTTAAGTCTAAATCAAATCTCTCCTCTATTTACTTCTAAACACCTGCCATTTTTGCATCAAACGTGAGTCTTGCTGCTTTAAATAGGTTGCATTGTGTCCCAAAATAAAAAAAAGCTCTCTCCCTCTTTCTCCAGCCTGGTGAAGTGGATCGAGGAGTGTGTGCCCGAGGACCCTTTTCTGAATCCCGAGCTGATGAAGAACAACCCCTGGGTGGAGAAGGGCAAGTGTGTGCTTCTATAAAACAAAACAAAGAGCGTAGCAGCAGCAACAGCAGCAGCAGCAGCGGTCGCCCAAGCCCTCCGTCTGAGCCTCCACCAGCCTGACAGGATCACACGGCGCTTGCTCTCTTCTTTCATTCCCTCACCATGAATGTACAGCAGTTTAGCATCCACTGCACAATAAACACACACAACATTAGCTCTATATAGTCCCAATTTGACACTTTGACATGCATTACTATTATATTTATAACCATCGACTATATCTTTATATGCGGTTAGTGGAATTTCTCTTCGACTTTAGCGTCCTCGTTGCTACTTGCATGCTTGATCTTGAGTTCAAGCATGTAGTGTCGACATCGAAATGCTCGAAAAGGCCTGTCAGACCACAAACTGCATGACAGAGGCATCCGAAAGGCCAAGTTTCCCCCTCTGTTATGCAGCATGTTCTTTCCTCCTGCAGACCTGCGCACTATTTACACCACACTCTCACTTACAGAGCGTTTTTAAACATGTACAGTTCGTTTTAATTTATTAACTTATTTATGATCGGTAATTTATTTATTTATGGTTTGATTCACCACTGAAGCTGTCGGCGCCGACTGCTTTAGACGCTACAATGGACCTGCTGTTGTTCGGCTGCACCCTTCCTTCCTCGAAAGCTAAAGGATTTAACAACAACAAACAAACAACAACGCATCTTGCCAGGTCACCATCGAATACTGCCTTGTACACAATTTCCTTAAAAAGAATGTATGTGTGTTGCGAGGGACTAGTAAACCATCAGCACCCTTAAGAATCGAAAGGATATGCAAATGGAGAGGTTGTGCACTGGCCAAGGCTTTTTTTCTTTTTCTTTTCTCTTCTTAGATTAATAGCTCGATCTGCACTTGCGGCAAGGATGTGGGGTTAATTTATGACTTTTGATTTGTTCATGTTTTTATATATTCAAACCTGGTAGAAACCTGTCTAATTATCTAGAGGTGTGTTACATATGAGAATGCTTTGAGAAAAAAAAAAAAATATGCATAAGATCAAGTACTAGTTTAATAACGAGCAATAAGTGATTACATTTTTTTATTGAATGTTTTACAAAACATCTTATTGAATAAAGTAGAGGATTTTTAGACAGCTTCAATGTCATTTGTGTGTTTAATTGGGTGTGTGTCGTGCCGAGTTTTGTATCGTATATCTAACTAAATTGAGATCAAATAATGACTGCTGACAGTGCAACACGTTCACTTTTTAAAGAGCCCCTATTACGGGTTTTTGAAAATGACCTTCCATGCAGTGTGTAAGACGTAATGCTTAAGTGAAATGAAATGTCCAGCTAAGGCTTAAATCTGAAAGTGCAGCGTGTTTAAAACTACTGATTCATCTATAAAAGAGTCGACTTATAGTGGTTTGAATGAATCGGCCCTGTAATGAGTCTCTAGCCATGTCGGTGTGACGTCAAACCGGAACTCAAGCCCCGCCCATGCCATTTGTTGCATGTGCACAGCCAGGAAAATTGAAACCCCTGGCCCGCCCATAAACACTGTAGAAAGAAAAAGATGACAAACACTGTAGCAGATCGGTTGAATCATGTCGCAAAGACGCTGTGCTCTGAAGTGTGAGAGAAAGTTAGTGTTATTTTCCCTACCCAAAAATGAGGCTGTGAAGAGTCAGCGGTTTAATTTTTTTTTTTGCAAAAATACCTCAGCATTGCTTCAACAAGTGCTTCGGCAATCTACATGCTTACAACGGGGGGATTCATCGGCCATTTGTTAAAGGAAGGATCAGAAAAGACTATTGATGTATGGGACTTTCTCAGAGCTTGACAGGAACATTCCAGTACACAGTTTCACAAGTATAAGTAATTGCGATTAAAATGATAGCCTTCTTGTTTTCTCTAAGTGGCAAATTATGTATTAAATTGTGTTTTGTTACTTGTAACCACTTGTACTGTATCTGGTTACCTCTTTATATTCTCATATCGCATCTAAAACCACGTTGACAACGTTATGCGTGCCGCTTTGTTTACGGATTTAAATGCATTTGTGAGCTTGCGATCCACTGTTGTTTGTCATTGCTATGGCCACCGTCAACTGTTCCTACACATGTGCGGTGGACAAGTTTCAAAATAGTTTAGCTTTTGCCAGTGTGGATTAATACTGAATGTGTGTCACTGTTTTTACTTATGATTAAGATTGGAGCAATATGCTGGTGTTTAACTGCTTTGCTTTAATGCACTCCTGCATTGGGCTCACACATACACTCTGACTACTTCAACAATGTTGATAAGCCGTGGTGGGCATTTCTCTCTGTCTCACACTGAATGCATTCGACCAATCACAACAGACTGGGTCATCGGACCAATCAGCGCAGTTTAGGCTCATGCTTAGGAGGGGTCTGGGAACAAATGAATCGCTAAACAAATCATATAGGAGTCGTTGGGATAATTAGGTAACAATAAATGCATATTATAAGAGTATCAAAGTGTTTTTTGACCCTGCATGCACATCAGCCTGTTGTTAGAGACCCCCAATATCAAAATATTACCCTTTTTAATGCATAATAGGGGCTCTTTAAAAAAGCTTATTATTAAGAATTAATAAAACATATGTAATGAGTACATTATAAATCTATTTTACAAACCCTCAACTTAGAATTATAAGGTTCTATCTGACATTTTTGTCAAAATTGAGTTATTGACAAATTCTTATTAAATGACAACTTATTTACATTATGGGATGTTTTTTTTATAAGTTATTTACATTTTAAGACTTTTTAATATAAAAAACAAATGTTGCACACATACTGTTTGCTATGAATTGCAAAAACTTTGAAGCTCAATATTTCAAAATCATTCAGAACGCAGATAGAACCTTATAACTCTAAGGTGACAAAACTATATCTTTTTCTTATCCTGATAAACCTTTAAAGAGATAGTTCACCCAAAAATGAAACTTTTATTACTTTTTATGCTACGTCAATGCTCTCAATTCCTGGAGGGCAGCAGCTCTGGGTAGTTTAGTTCCAACCACCTTCAACTCATACCTGTTTAATAGTCTCTATCAGTCTTGAACATCTTGATTATGAGGATCATCTGTGTTTGATTAGAGTTGGAACAAAACTGTGCAGAGCTGCGGCCCTCCAGGAATTGAGTTTGAGACCAGTGTTAATTTTGTTGACAATAAATTTTCATCATTATTCAAATCATAAAGTTTCTACCAGCGAAAACTAATAAAAATTAAGGGATGATGATGACAGCTACAATAAAAATATACTCTCATTTTCGTTGACTAATAAAAACGAGACACGAATGTGATTGAGTGACGTTATTTGCAAAATATTCAATCAGAATTAATCTTGTTGTGTGATGCATGAAGCACACATGCACATTTGAAAAGTAACTTGTCCATAGTATGCGGGATGCAATTACTCATTTTCCATAGAGGCATTTGTCTATATTAAAATGTCAACAGCTGAGAGAAAAGGAATATTCACTTTAGATGTTAAGACAAAAAAAACAAAAAAACTTAAACTGTAGGGAGAAAATAAATAACTGATAAAAAACTAAAGTGACATCAGCATAACAGGGAACCATTCCGAAATTCACACAAAGGTAAACTCAGATCTTTTTTATTTACCCAAGTGTGTGCTTTTGCTTAACTGAAATGGAACAGCCTCTCACTAGAGTAGATTTAGTCAAGGAAAATCTGATCAAATTTAGTTGACTAAAACTAAACTAAAACTAAAATGATTTAGAAGACTAAAATATGACAAACTGAAATGGAGTTTTAGTTAAAAGACTAAGACTAAAACTAAATCAAAATTTGCTGTCAACATTAACACTGTTTGAGACCTATGCTCTACATCAAGTGGTTACACACTTTTACGAGTTTCTTTTTTGTTGTTGTACACACACACACAAAAAAGATATGGAAGTCAATGGTTACAGGTTTCCAACATTTCTCAGAATAACTTTTTGTGTGTTCAACAGAAGAAAGAAACTCATGAAGGTTTGAAACAAGTAAACAATTACCAAATTTCCAGTTTTGGGTGAAGTATCCCTAAATAAGAGACTATTTTTGATCTCTTTCATAATTTCAAAAACAAAAGTAAGAATAATACTTTGATGTATTTACCACCAGAGCAGCAAAATTACTTACTGCAGCTTTACAAAATAAAACACAAGAATGTTGACTGAGAATTACAAATTTGTTGCTTCGTTTTGTTACATCATGGCCACGATGCCAATTTATGACCTAATTTTTTCCTAAACTGTAAGAATAAAACAAGATTTTACAAATTAGTACAACATTGCCATGATTTAACACATGAACAAATTCTTAATTTGTGGTCACAATACTTAGTTTTTCTGCAAGTCATCTAATATGAACAACAACTGACTGTTTTCAAAGTTACTTGGACTACTGTTGACACACATCTTAAACAAACTTACACAATATCATTCAAATGAGAAAAGCATGTTTACATAAACCTACATTACACAGAAATGCATCCTGTTTCGACGCCCTTACATCTCAAACAATTTGACAAACTCAGCTGACATGGACTGAAGCCAGATGAGAATCTTCTAATATATGATAATGAAACGAAACCCTCAAATGCAAACCTCTGAAGTCACTATTTATGTTTACCAAGTGCTTTCTTCACAATAATGCAACACTAATGGTCTTTGAATGATGCTATTTTGGGGTATTCTCAACAAATATCACATTGACGTTCATTTAGCAGATGCTTTGGTCAAAGGGAACTCACAAATGATTCCTTCAAAACAGAGCTGATTAATGACATTAATTAACACTGACATAATGTTTTGTTTTGAATGAGATGACAGCACCAAGGTTATTATAGTTTTGCAGTCTTAAATTAGTTTTTATTTTGACACTATTTTTAAATTAACTGTACATTTTAGGTTAGTTTTAGTTTTTTTATTATTATTATTATTATTTTGTTAGATTTAGTTTAGTTTTATTTTTTGAAAACATTTCTTTTTAAATTTTATAGATTTCAATTTTATTAATATTAGTTTGTCAGAGTTCACAGAACACTTCCAATGTTGACCAAAACAAGGTTTAATGTTTGCACAGCTTACATTAATCCTTATCCAAAATTTCCTAGTAATTCAAATAAAATAGGTGTTTGAACAAACACTGAATCCGAAACCATACAAATGCAACAAATAAAAGTAAAAACTAAGAAGGATTCAGGCAGCCTACATCATATTAAATATTTATAAATATAATTGTTCATATTAAAATCATACTGTACACTAAAAAAAAAACTGTTAATTAACAGTGTTTTCTGTTTATATAGGGCTGTAAATTGCATTACGGGTTGTTGATCTCTGCTCTGTTGACTTTTGATGTCGAAAACTCTACAGTTTAACCAAGTGACTTTTATTGATATTTTAGTAGTTTGAAATAATATAATGTATCAGAAATAATACATAGAGCAATAAGTCTGTAAAAATATCAGAAAATGTACAAGCAATTTATTAGAAGGTTTTTGTACCATAATATACAACACCAATCCAGACAATATATCACTTTAAACTATTAAAAATGTTAACAAAATTACTTTGATCTTGAAAAGTTGAAAGGTTCCATAATGCAATTCAAAAGCTTAAATAAATGAGAAAAAAAAATAAAAACATGAATCACAAAATACAGAAAGTGTATGGACATTTTATTAGGGATGTCTTGATTAGTTTTTTTTTTTTTTAATACATAAAAAGAATAAATAAGAGTGAAGAGACGGATCCAGGATGTTCCTTATTTTTTATTTAATTCACCTCATTTTAACATTAAACAACTCTGTTAACAAATAGAGCACTTCTGTTAGGCAGCTTGAACAATCAAGTAATAAATAACATAAATTCTTCACTTTTGGATTTAGTGCAACAGTAAATATAAAAAAATCTAATATAAAAACAAATAGCACCTTAACTTAAAATACCCGGCAGGCAATCCCAAATTTACATATTTCACAGTTTGCTTTAGCTATGTTGTTATCATCAACTTTATAATACCTCTAGACCACAGACATACTCACACTTTCCGTTTTAAGCTGCTTCCATCTTATTCTTCTTTGCTGGCATTTAACCAATAGCATCTCTGCAACA